GCCCATGTTCCTACAGGTCGTCAGTCAGCCTCTTATATGTGTAACACTGTATATTATCAGTCAACATGGATCTTCCTGAAGCAATTTGCATAACAAATATACATAGGCAGGTGTCACATTACATTCGTATCCGTTGATGCCAAAACCATAATGTACTTGCGTGCTGGATATGATACAAATTTGGTAGGTATGTACTTCTCACGGAGGGTTTTATACCAGACACAAACCAAAAAAAATGTTTTTCACCTTCACTACCTAGAGTGCCCAGCCTTTTATCTCTGGGGATATTGAGATACCTGCCAGTTTCTGTTTTGCGACCAAGGCAACTGTAACAGAATTGTGGCATGGCCACGCGGAATTTTGCAAATGTTACATGTTTAAGGTATAATTCCGTTCCAAAAGTACCTTTAAAGAGCGAGCGTTATGATATATCCCAGCTTAGTGCGTGAGGGCACAGTTTGTAGGGACGCACGGCCGCTTGGTATGATGTTGTGAGACCAAGTATCATGATTGGTATCGAATCCGGGAGCCGAACCCTCGATAAGTGGATAGTCTCATGGCCGAGGGACGACACTCTTCAAATTGAAACGCCCCAGACCACTTTTTTTTTAAACACTTGTTGCCCCTGTACACCATTTGAATTAAATAAATTCAAATTCAACATTAAACAGGTGTTTCGTGTTAAGTATTAAGTACCAGGGACATACGGGAGTACGAGGAACGAGAGAAGTCATAACGTACTTACCGACGCTCCGAATGATAATCCAACCTCAGAGTTGCGCAAAGGGTGCAGCGCTTCTATAGATCACGTGATGCCAGTACGCCACAAACTTGGTGTATACGGTGATTGCTTCAGTGCGCGGAGCTATGACAGGACTGCCGTAGTGTATATTAAACACAACTTACTGGTGCAGCGATGGCCTCAATTATAAGTATTCTGCTGACGTTTTACGTTTTTTCGTCAAAATCTTCATGGAGTTGTTGTTTTCCTCAATAGCTTATAAAACCAGAGCATAACTACACAATAACTTATTAAACTAGAGCATAACTACACAATAACTTATTAAACTAGAGCATAACTACACAATAACTGAATATGGTTTTACGCCACTGTTATCACTATTCCAGCAAATGACTATAACACTTCAGGCATTACGAGCGAACGTCTTTAAAGGTATTCATTGAGTACTCTTTCCAAGTGCATTTTAATCCCAGAGCGATGCATACATTTTAAGCGTTGTGGGTCTTCCACACATGCGCCGCGGTATGATCCGCGGTGCCTGGAGTAGAATAGATCCACATCATCTGTCTCAGTGCTAGTCGTGAGAAGCGAGAAACACGTCACCACCGTCTCAGTGCTAGACGTAAGAAGCAAGAAACACGTCACCACCGTCTCAGTGCTAGTCGTGAGAAGCGAGAAACACGTCACCACCGTCTCAGTGCTAGACGTAAGAAGCAAGAAACACGTCACCACCGTCTCAGTGCTAGACGTAAGAAGCGAGAAACACGTCAACACCGTCTCAGTGCTAGACGTAAGAAGCATGAAACACGTCACACCGTCTCAGTGCTAGACGTAAGAAGCGAGAAACACGTCAACACCGTCTCAGTGCTAGACGTAAGAAGCAAGTAACACGTCAACACCGTCTCAGTGCTAGACGTAAGAAGCAAGAAACACGTCAACACCGTCTCAGTGCTAGTCGTAAGAAGCAAGAAACACGTCACACCGTCTCAGTGCTAGACGTAAGAAGCATGAAACACGTCAACACCGTCTCAGTGCTAGTCGTAAGAAGCAAGAAACACGTCAACACCGTCTCAGTGCTAGTCGTAAGAAGCGGGAAACACGTCAACACCGTCTCAGTGCTAGTCGTAAGAAGCGGGAAACACGTCAACACCGTCTCAGTGCTAGACGTAAGAAGCATGAAACACGTCAACACCGTCTCAGTGCTAGACGTAAGAAGCAAGAAACACGTCAACACCGTCTCAGTGCTAGACGTAAGAAGCATGAAACACGTCAACACCGTCTCGGTGCTGATCGTAAGAAGCAAGAAACACGTCACCACCGTCTCGGTGCTAGACGTAAGAAGCATGAAACACGTCAACACCGTCTCAGTGCTAGACGTAAGAAGCAAGAAACACGTCAACACCGTCTCAGTGCTAGACGTAAGAAGCAAGAAACACGCCAACACCGTCTCAGTGCTAGTCGTAAGGAGCAAGAAACACGTCAACACTGTCTCGGTGCTGGTCATAAGAAGCAGGAAACATGTCACCACCGTCTCAGTGCTAGACGTAAGAAGCATGAAACACGTCAACACCGTTTCGGTGCTGATCGTAAGAAGCAAGAAACACGTCACCACCGTCTCAGTGCTAGACGTAAGAAGCAAGAAACACGTCAACACTGTCTCGGTGCTATTCGTAAGAAGCATGAAACACGTCAACACCGTCTCAGGGCTAGACGTAAGAAGCAAGAAACACGTCAACACCGTCTCAGTGCTAGACGTAAGAAGCAAGAAACACGTCAACACCGTCTCAGTGCTAGTCGTAAGGAGCAAGAAACACGTCAACACTGTCTCGGTGCTGGTCATAAGAAGCAGGAAACATGTCACCACCATCTCAGTGCTAGACGTAAGAAGCATGAAACACGTCAACACGGTCTCGGTGCTGATCGTAAGAAGCAAGAAACACGTCACCACCGTCTCAGTGCTAGACGTAAGAAGCGAGAAACACGTCAACACTGTCTCGGTGCTATTCGTAAGAAGCAAGTAACACGTCAACACCGTCTCAGTGCTAGACGTAAGAAGCAAGAAACACGTCAACACCGTCTCAGTGCTAGTCGTAAGAAGCAAGAAACACGTCACACCGTCTCAGTGCTAGACGTAAGAAGCATGAAACACGTCAACACCGTCTCAGTGCTAGTCGTAAGAAGCAAGAAACACGTCAACACCGTCTCAGTGCTAGTCGTAAGAAGCGGGAAACACGTCAACACCGTCTCAGTGCTAGTCGTAAGAAGCGGGAAACACGTCAACACCGTCTCAGTGCTAGACGTAAGAAGCATGAAACACGTCAACACCGTCTCAGTGCTAGACGTAAGAAGCAAGAAACACGTCAACACCGTCTCAGTGCTAGACGTAAGAAGCATGAAACACGTCAACACCGTCTCGGTGCTGATCGTAAGAAGCAAGAAACACGTCACCACCGTCTCGGTGCTAGACGTAAGAAGCATGAAACACGTCAACACCGTCTCAGTGCTAGACGTAAGAAGCAAGAAACACGTCAACACCGTCTCAGTGCTAGACGTAAGAAGCAAGAAACACGCCAACACCGTCTCAGTGCTAGTCGTAAGGAGCAAGAAACACGTCAACACTGTCTCGGTGCTGGTCATAAGAAGCAGGAAACATGTCACCACCGTCTCAGTGCTAGACGTAAGAAGCATGAAACACGTCAACACCGTTTCGGTGCTGATCGTAAGAAGCAAGAAACACGTCACCACCGTCTCAGTGCTAGACGTAAGAAGCAAGAAACACGTCAACACTGTCTCGGTGCTATTCGTAAGAAGCATGAAACACGTCAACACCGTCTCAGGGCTAGACGTAAGAAGCAAGAAACACGTCAACACCGTCTCAGTGCTAGACGTAAGAAGCAAGAAACACGTCAACACCGTCTCAGTGCTAGTCGTAAGGAGCAAGAAACACGTCAACACTGTCTCGGTGCTGGTCATAAGAAGCAGGAAACATGTCACCACCATCTCAGTGCTAGACGTAAGAAGCATGAAACACGTCAACACGGTCTCGGTGCTGATCGTAAGAAGCAAGAAACACGTCACCACCGTCTCAGTGCTAGACGTAAGAAGCGAGAAACACGTCAACACTGTCTCGGTGCTATTCGTAAGAAGCGAGAAACACGTCAACACCGTCTCAGTGCTAGACGTAAGAAGCGAGAAGCACGTCAACACCGTCTCAGTGCTAGACGTAAGAAGCATTAAACACGTCAACACCGTCTCAGTGCTAGACGTAAGAAGCAAGTAACACGTCAACACCGTCTCAGTGCTAGACGTAAGAAGCGAGAAACACGTCAACACTGTCTCGGTGCTATTCGTAAGAAGCGAGAAACACGTCAACACCGTCTCAGTGCTAGACGTAAGAAGCGAGAAGCACGTCAACACCGTCTCAGTGCTAGACGTAAGAAGCATTAAACACGTCAACACCGTCGCAGTGCTAGACGTAAGAAGCGAGAAGCACGTCAACACCGTCTCAGTGCTAGACGTAAGAAGCATTAAACACGTCACACCGTCTCAGTGCAAGACGTAAGAAGCAAGAAACACGTCAACACCGTCTCAGTGCTAGACGTAAGAAGCGAGAAACACGTCACATCGTCTCAGTGCTAGACGTAAGGAGCAAGAAACACGTCAACACCGTCTCAGTGCTAGACGTAAGAAGCGAGAAACACGTCAACACTGTCTCGGTGCTAGACGTAAGGAGCAAGAAACACGTCAACACCGTCTCAGTGCTAGACGTAAGAAGCGAGAAACACGTCAACACTGTCTCGGTGCTATTCGTAAGAAGCGAGAAACACGTCAACACCGTCTCAGTGCTAGACGTAAGAAGCGAGAAACACGTCAACACTGTCTCAGTGCTAGACGTAAGAAGCAAGAAACACGTCAACACCGTCTCAGTGCTAGACGTAAGAAGCAAGAAACACGTCAACACCGTCTCAGTGCTAGACGTAAGAAGCAAGAAACACGTCACACCGTCTCAGTGCTAGACGTAAGAAGCAAGAAACACGTCAACACAGTCTCGGTGCTAGTCGTAAGAAGCAAAGCACTCGTGTCACAAAGCCACGAGCCATGTAGCTGAAATACTGTACAATGTGGTGTTAAGCAATGCCTCTTGTCCATTGCATTTTTCGACTTAACAAAGAACCAAACTAGAATTGTATTTTTGTATTGCATTATCAACTGCACAGCTGTTGAATAATTCAAACAAATAATTACTGCCACACATGTGTTTGCGTATAAATCGATTTTATTCATAACAGATTAAAGGTGCAAGATTTGTCAGTTTCCTAACCAAGTCAGCGAGCCTGATCACCCGATCCCGTTAGTTGCCTCTTACGGCAAGCATGGGTTGCTGAAGACCGGATCTTCACGGGTCACAAAGAAGGGTCGATATCAAATTTGGAAGATTCCCTTTTTAAAATGGATAAATAACATATTGTGATATGTATTTTCTATAATAAAATAAATAAAACAAGTTAAGAAATTGGAAATATGATTTTCCACCTTTAAGTAACATAAACGGCTAACGTCAGCAGAATAAGCGCCATGACAGGAATCACGCCTGCTTTAGTCGACCCTGAAAACAGATATCAGAAGTAATTACATTTTATAATCATTGTGAGGCTACAGTAAGCATATATACAACAGCTGTTTCAATAAGTGCGGCGTTAAACAACAAACAAACAATACAGCTTATCGCTTTACAGCTGACTGCACATAAGTCAAGTGCTCTGTTACCTCTAAAATAATGAACTGACCCAAAAGAAGGTTAAACAGACAAGACAATCTTAAAGCTTCATACATTGTTTAATAGCTGATATTTACATTATGCAGTAATAATAATAATGACTAATGATTACTGTAGCTTTAGTACACATCCAACGGCATAAAGACATTGCATTACAGTTTTTCTTCCACTAAGAAGCTGTGTCTTTAGTCTTTCAATTCTTTCGTCCCTTTGTCTGTCAACACGAGCTCGGGGTCTGCATGATCCTCCAAGATCAATTTGTTTCCTGGAGCGTCTGTCTGCCTTTTCAATCTTCTTGATCTCCTTCAAGAACTGATAGATGTAATTATATACACTTGGAGCCACAAGCTAGGACAAACAGAAAAAGTACCATCCATAAACAAACTGTCAGAGTCACTTCACTTTGAACCTCTATGCCGCTTGGATTAGATTAGAGCTTGGATTAGTTAACAGCCTGATGGACAATGTACATTCATATAATAGGGGTGAGGCAATTAAGCATTTGAATTATTGTAGGCGAAATGAGGTGTAGGCGAAATGAGGTGTAGGCGAAATGAGGGCAAGCCATTCCCAACTAGTGTTCATCACAGTCTATTGGGCATACCCAGTGTATACGTAGGAATTAGTTTAATGGCCAGGAGGGCTTGTTAAAAATTGTTGCAAGCCCGTATATTTTACTAGCCATATGTTATGGCTTTGCAACATGTATTATTGCGCTTAAAAAACGGCGAAGCTGACAAGTTGCTTGGTACTTTCCGTTTGTCTGACGGTCGTGGTGGTTCTTAGACTTTCATGCGCATAGGTAATAACACATGTAGATGTATGTCAGTCAAAATCTGTGTATAGTAGAAACCCAGTTTCCGATAAACTACGAAAACAAATGACAGCAATTTTTGACATGAAATGACGCCTTTACTGACTTGATGCTCAGTAGAACATAAGTGAGCGAGTGAGTATTGTTTAAAGCCACTTTCAGCAATATTCCAGCAATATCACGGGCGGGGACTCGTGACTTATGCATTGTGGTCCGTTACATGACGGAGTATTGTTTTACGCCGCTTATGGTAATGTTTCATCAATATCATTGCTGGGAATAGGAAATGAACACCATCACTTTCGGCTTTCCTCCCACATCAAGTTGGACCCGTGAAGATCCGGGGTAGAATAGGTCTCCAGCAACCCATGATGCCGTAAAAGGCGACTATGCTTGTCGTAAGAGGCGACTAACGGGATCGAGTGGTCAGGCTCGCTGACTTGGTTGATGCATGTCACCGTATCCCAGTTGCGTGGATCGACGCTCATGATGTCAATCACTGGATTGTCTGGTCCAGACTCGATTATTTACAGACCGCCGTCATATAGCTGGAATAATGCTGAGCGCGGCGTTAAACAACAAACAAATAAATCTTAACAAAACACAACTCACTCACATTATACTGTATGTGTATTCATGTAATGAATTGTTGCTTATGTATAATAGCAAGTTCAATTCTTATCTCCTGTGGAGCCTTACGACTATAAGACATTGTGGCAACATATTAGAATCAGCCGAGTTATTATGTGTGAGTGAGTATGGTTTTACGCCGCTTCTAGCAATATGCGAGCAATATCACGGCGGGGGACACCACAAAATGGGCTTCACACATTGTACCCATGTCGGGAATCGAACCCGGGTCTTTGGCGTGACGAGCGAAGGCTTTAGCCACAAGGCTACCGACCGTCCCAGTTATAATGTGTAGATGAGTCGGTCCTTTTAGTTGCCACTCAGCGAATGTGGACTATGTGTTCTAGATCTGGTTGGTTGTATGGAAGAGAACACGTGTTTGTAGTTTAACGACCCTCAACCTTAAAGCAATAAGACTGCTGCTTGTAAATATTCGATTCTAACAACGGACGAATCAGTGATTGATAACATGAGCAACGATATATGCTTTAGTGGTATGTTGACAGGACCTCAACCAAATCACCGAGATTGCTTGGACTAATGTGTTTCGGTCGAAAGAAGCGACTTAATAGATCGACTGGTTAGGGTCGGTGATTTGCAATCTCATTAAAATCAGACCTTAGTTCTCGCTACCGCTAAACAAAGATCTGAGACATCTTATTACGGGTCACGTCAGAACGACCTTTCATCCGACTAATCAGAGCGTCGCTTACCAGATTATGAAAGTGACAGTCGGAATGTGATTTCTAATCATGCAACCTCGAAAACTTTAACACGGGGTATTCCGAACGATAGTTGCGGGTTTAACGACTGAATCCATACAATCTAGACCATCTATTATCCATTCCAGAATGTTCTTTTGTTCGGTTTTCAAATTTGTAATCGAGAATTTGTCAAAATATGTTTCGAAGCGTAGTCGCCATTTTGAAATTTGTGCCATGAAGCACGAGAAAGCTCCCTTCTGATTGGTCAATCAATTGGTCGGTCAAAGTTTGAGCATGGTCGGTCTGACGTGACCCGTAATGGGATGTCCTCAGATCTTTGTTTAGCGGTAGCGAGAAATGAGATTGGGTGATTTGGAGAGCACTTACCGCAGAACAGCTCGGAGTCCAACATCAGGGAATCCACTTGAGACTCTACCTGGGTTCCATACAGAGTCTTCGGCCCACATTCCCAGAGTTCAATGTTCAGGCAGTTAATGTACATCGCCATCTCGCTAATAAATAAACACACCAAAAAATTAAAATGCCTTCTACACTCATGTTGACAGGACTTAGTGTTTGTTTAACGCCGCACTCAGCAATATTCCAGCTATATGACGGCGGTCTGTAAATAATCGAGTCTGGACCAGACAATCCAGTGTTTGATATCATGAGCATCGATCCACGCAGTCGGGATACGATGAAATGCATCAACCAAGTCCACCCAATCACGTTAGTCGTCTCTTTCGACAAGCATAGTCGCCTTTAATGGCAAGCATGGGTTGCTGAAGACCTATTCTACCCCGGATCTTCACGGATAAACACGACTTAGTGACAATTATATAGACAACACAACACCCAAAGGCCAATAATTTCTCCTTCAAGGTTTCTCATCAAATTAAGCGTTTTAAAACATTTTTCAAATTGCATCGTCAATCTTGTCATCATTAATTTAAGGTTATACGTCATTTGATCTGTCGAAAGTCCTACTCTCATAACCAACGATAACACTGACCGGTTATTTAATATTAATATGAAGAAATATTTGTAACGTAAACGGTAAAATTATTTTTTTCTCACTTGTTCATCAAACCATACAGAGTTTACAAACCATGCACATGTACGACCGTAAGTCGAATTTATTCCATATGATTTTTAATGATCAGTTAATGATCATTTAACGTTTTCATCAAATATGTCCCATACATGTAAGCGTTATAAACAACAACAACAACAACAACAATAATAATAATAATTTGAATTCTGTGTTGTGTCGGAACGACAACAACAGTATTCCTAACAGCATTCCTGGGAATTCGGGGTCGGGTGGGGTAGTTAAGTGGTTAAAGCGTTGGCCAGTCCTTCGAATACCAGGGTTCGATTTCCTACAATGGTACAAGAGTACAATGTGTGGATCCTCTTGTCGGTGAAAACACCCCCACCCCCTCCCTTCCGTCGTGTGGCTGGTGTAGTGCAAAGAGAAACAGTGTTTCACTCACTCATTGTGCTACTTACTCGCAGGACTTCTTTGTATATCCTTTACTGACATCTGCTACAAACGTGCAGTCCCCCACATCACAGATCCCATTCGCTCCAAAGTAATCTGAAATATAAATACAGAGTGAGTGAGTATGGTTTTAAGCCGCTTTTCGCAATATTCCAGCAATATCACGGCGGCGACACCAGAAATGGGCTTCACACATTGTACAAATGTGGGGATTCGAACGCGGGTCTTCGGCGTGACGAGCGAACGCTTACACCACTAGGCTACCCGACCGCTCTATAAATACAGACAATAAAATGTATTGGAATGAATGCATGGATACCACCGTTATTTTTCACCTAATCAATAATTGCATTCATCTTGGCATTGCAGGAAATCATATCAGGTGAGGCACGCGTCTTTTTTATTAGTACCTGGTTTACAGATATTTTTTTTCATCAAAATTAAACGACGGCGTGGATCGGTGCTCATAATATCAATCACTGGTCTATCTGGTCCAGACTCAATAATTTGCAGCCCGTCATCATGCATTTGGAATATTACCGAATGTGGCGTTAGACAACAAACAAACAAACAATTTTAACACATTAACGTACCACATCTGTAGAGTATTGTGACGTAGTGTGCGTCTGCCAGCGCCTGCAGGGACGTCCGCTCCTCGCTCTCCCCCACACACCCGTGCAACTCCGTCGTCAGACAGTGGACATAGGTCTTCAAGTCTCTGTCATCAGAAGTCAGGAGTGTCGGTATGTATTTCTACTATTCATTATAAATTAAAGCACCCATAATTGAAAAAGAAGGAAACTGCAGGAAACTATATTGCTATTTCAGTCACGTATTCATAAAAACGAACTATACCACTTTTTGTAACCGAATGAAAGCAATACTGATTTACGGTGATCATATGCCAGTAAGAGTTATCCCCCTTAGCCACAAACAAAATGCCCGTGAGCACGATTGAAAGACAACAATGTTACACCGTCTTTGGCACTAATCAAGCATATATTAACAGGGGATGCTTTGGTTTGGTTTGTTGTTTAAGTCGACTCGGTCTTGTGACTGAAATTTGGATCCATTTCCACCATTTCATCACATCAGGATAACACATTCTTTGAGTGAGTATGGGTACAATGTGTGAAGCCCATTTCTGGTGTCCCCCGCCGTGATATTGCTGGAATATTGCTAAAAGCGGCGTAAAACCATACTCACTCACTCACTTTGAGTAAGTGAGTGAGTGAGTGAGTGAGTGTGTGAGTGAGTGAGTGAGTTTGGTTTTACGCCGCTTTTAGCAATATTCCAGCAATATCACGGCGGGGGACACCAGAAATGGGCTTCACACATTGTACCCCTGTCGGGATTCGAACCCGGGTCTTCGGCCTGACGAGCGAACGCTTTAACCACTAGTCTACCCGACCGCCCCACACATTCTTTGAACTGGTAGATACAATGAGAGCTTTGCTTATATCTGTGCACCATGTTACTGGTATGAGAGGTAAAACAATATAGTGGACTTAGTGTTTGTCTAACGCCGCACTCAGCAATATTCCAGCTATATGACGGCGGTCTGTACATAATCGAGTCTGGACCAGACAACCCAGTGATTGATACCATAAGCATCGATCCACGCAATTGAGATACGATGACATGCATCAACCAAGTCAGCGAGCCTGACCACCCTATCCCGTTAGTCACCTCTTACGACAAGCATAGTCGCCTTAACCAGTAATGCACCGTGGGTGGGCTTTGCGTTGGTTTGTCATGTGGGGAATAGAACCGGATGTTTAGTCTGTCTTACAGACCCTGATACATTTATATCAACTACAGCCCATGCAAGTCTATGATGTTTGGCAAGTCTAGATTACTGCAGTATCAGTATCTGAAAATGAAGAGAATCACTGGGCTCCCTTTTTATTAGATTTTTATTAAGATAACTGAACAACTGTTTTTTCTGTATGATATGTTCATTTCAGAGACTATATGTTAGTCTACCGGATGTTCAATGTCACAAGCATACGAGGCTACCGTCTACTGTTGTCTAATGTCTACCATACAACACCCACGTACACTGGGCCTGTCACTGAGCATGCGAATTCTCTCCGAAATATGTTTTTTCATATACATTTGTTTGTTTGTGATTTCGAATTACATCGAATTTGATAAAATTGTGAACTATGTATACTGAACCGTAAAAGAAACGTCGCCCAAAGGAACATTGCATGAAAAGTTGCCATTTAAGTATCTGGGTCATTATTGTCAAAGTTTCTAAAATTCAACATTACCTTGTCCGGAAAAAATGAAATTTGATGATAAAAAACCCAAAGCAGATGACAATAAAAGCGATCGCCCAAACGGCCATGGTAACCCGATGCACGTGAGTTCTATGCAAACTGAAATGCACGTGCGTTCCCCCATTTCTTGCCCTATAAAAATCCACCCAGATCGGATAACATTCATTCGTTATTGAATTGCTACCACGTGCCAAGACTGACAAGAAATCAGCGACACCAAGCCTTCGTTGGGTTTAACGCCGCTTTTAACAGTATTCCAGTTATATCGCGGCGTGTCAGCTTAATGTGGGAGGAAAGCCCGAAGTGATGCAGGTCTCAGATGTTTACCACTTCGGTGAAACCCACGAGCACGGGTATGGTGCTGACAAACCTAGAAACATAATTTGGGGGAACCGGGATTCGAACCCACAATCGTAGGTTTCTGGTGTGCCCAAGATACGCAACTCTGCACATGGAATCGCGGCGCCACCCGTGCCCCCATATCTTCATGGAAACATCTCCTCGACTTTAAGGTCGAGAATCACAATTTGCACTTGCATTTTCATGCAGAGCGCAGACATGTGAAAGTTTGGTTGTTGAGAGCATGATACACACATGGATATTGTATGTGAACAGCACAGAATGATAGTTTGACTATCACGTGATCATAATTTTTTTTTGTTTAACCGTAAGTAATACTTACGCAGTGCCACGGCTTGCTGAAAATCAACGTTTGTGTTCCGTGAGTATGCTGGAAGCAGGAATGGCGCAAAACGCCAAAGCGGCCAGACATTTTAATGTTCAATCGAAACACACTGTCCTTTCTTTGGAGATCTTATCTACAGCAGGGCAACACTCATATTTAGCCAAGGGCGGGTCGTCCACGTGTGACGTTACGTCAACAAGGGACCCGTGAAGATCCGGGGTAGAATAGGTCTTCAGCAACCCATGCTTGACGTAAGAGGTGACTATGCTTGTCGCAAGAGCCGACTAACGGCTCGGGTGGTCAGGCTCGCCAAATTGGTTGATGCGTGTCATCGTATCCCAATTGTGTGGATTGACGTTCATGATGTCAATCACTGGATTGTCTGGTCCAGACTCGATTAATTACAGCCGACCGTCATACAGCTAGAATATTGCTGAGTGCGGCGTTAATAACTCACACACACAAACTTATTTCAACACGATACCATATTCGGTTGGTGCATCTACGGAATCTTTATCAAACTGCCATATTAACAGCTCGGGCAATTCCTTGAGACCAATATTGTGGCAGGAACATACGCAAACGATAGAGGGAGCACAACATTCGGCCCCGACTTCCAGCGTTACGTCCAACTTTGCTTTCACATCATAGCCAGGCACGCCTGAATGGGTGCAGACATCTGAGGCTCAGAAGACAAGACTAGGACATGTTCATCTGGGCAGCGCTGATGGACATGCTAGGGCCTACATGCGTCTAGATAAATATTGCTGAACTAACCTGGCCGGTTGTTTTCCCAGACCTATCCCCCATAGTACATGTCTGGCATGAGATTGAACGACGTCTATGACAGGACCAGAACATGCCGGTAACGCTAGCTCAGTTTGTCCAATCTTTGGTTGGAGTGAGTGAGTGAGTGAGTGGGGTTTTACGCCGCTTTTAGCAATATTCCAGCAATATCACGGCGGCGGACACCAGAAATGGACTTCACACATTGTACACATGTCGGGAATCGAACCCGGATCTTCGGCGTGACGAGCGAACGCTTTAACCACTAGGCTACCCGACCGCGCCTGACTGTTGGAACTACATCCCAGATCATCTGGTGTCTTCTATGCACCACAGCTGCCTCGTCTGTATCAACGCAAATGGTGGTCACACCCGATAGTGACAGTGTTAATTAAGTTGTTACGTCATCGTTCTTTCAGGGGGTGTCGTTCTGTCTCCTGTTACCAGGATTTGGTTTTGTCAATGAATGTTTTATGATACAATATTGATCAGACAATGACCAAATAGTATGTTCTTATTTTCATATTGTTTTACCACCCCACCCCTTAGGAAAAACATCGTTTTATTGACACAATCGTATATATTGTCAAGTGAAATCTCCTGACTTTCACTGAAGCTACAAATTCAAATTGTGTCACCATATCCCATTCACAACATTCAAACTGAAGGTAAAACGCCAAATGTCATGCGTTCCAACTGAGCCCTTCAGGATTTTTCAGGGAAGACTAAATTTTTAGGTCCCCAGTATTCCATGCTTGACCTGACTAAACGGGGGTCGGATTGTCACAACCCGTAACCCGGTTGCCACGGTAACACCATGTCCAGATGTCCTGGTTCTTGATGTCCACTCCGTTGTTGCATTAGTTTGTTTGTTGTAATATTTAATTGTATTTTCAGACATTAGTCAGTGCCAAGATTGTGACACGTTTCTTTGTCTGAGAACATTCCACGATGAATTTATCGCCGCAGCAGAGAACAGGACGGCAGCATGTAGGTAAGAGTGATTGAGTTGGGTTCAACTCCGCTTTGATCAATTAGTCTCCGTCGTATCACGGCGTATCAGTTTAGTGTTGGATGAGTTAGTGAGTGAGCTGGGTTTAACGCTGCTTTTAACATTATTCCAGTTATATCGCGGTGTGTCAGCTTGATGTGGGAGGGAAGCCCGAAGTGATGCAGGTGTCAGACGTTTACCACTTCGGTGAAACCAACGAGCACAGGTATGGTGCTGACAAACCTAGAAACATTATTGGGGCGAACCGGGATTCGAACCCATAATCATAGGATTCGCAACCAAGGGACGCAACTCTGCAAAGCGAATCGCGGCGCCTTAGACGACTGGGCCACCCGTGCCCCCAGTGGTTGATGAAACCCAGAGACAATAGTGGTAGACGGTAACCCCTTTCACGAAACCCATGGTGACGGAAACGATATGGTGCTGACAAACCACCTTGGCGAATCCGGGATTCGAACTCACGATCAGCGGATCCTGAAATGGCTAAGAGACGCAAGTTGTCTGTAAGAAACCTGCGCCGCCTTTGGTTAGTTGGCTTCATGACGACAGAGTATAATCACATCTAAGTGAGAAGGGGAGTGAGTGAGTATGGTTTTACGCCGCTTTTAGCAATATTCCAGCAATATCACCGCGGTGGGACTACCAGAAATGGGCTTCACACATTGTACCCATGTCGGTAATCGAACCCAGGTCTTCGGCGTGACGGGCGAACGCTTTAACCACGAGGCTACCCCACCGCCCCGACACTGAAGGAGAATACACCAATGACAAACCCATCATTCGGAGATAGACAGGGGCTTACTGAGTACATACTCCGCCATGGAAATATATTTCGGAGATAAGCACGGGGTACTGGGAACATAGTCTACTCCAGATTTATTCTTCAGAGACAGGTGCGATGGGATAGTCTACTAGTTAAGGCGTGTGCCCGTCATGCCGAAGGCCCGGGTTCGATTCCCTAGAAGAGTGGGGAATCATCTAATAATGGTCATCGCTGGCAATCTGACAAACATTCCCTTTCAGTTCCTGCAGGGCCATGGACGTCACACCAGCAGCATTGCGCTCGACAACGTGTAGTCAATGACCTCATGACACAACTGATTGTTCGCTCAATTCTTTGGCCACCTGTTTCGCAGATCTGAAACACTGAATAACACCCAAGAACTGAAACTTTTGTTTATTTCACTATGTATAAGACCCGTGAAGATCCGGGGTAGAATAGGTCTTCAGCAACCAATGCTTGCCGTAAGAGGCGACTAACGGGATCGGGTGGTTAGGCTCGCTGACTTGGTTGATGCATGTCATCGATCCCAGTTGCGTAGATCGATGCTCATGATATTAATCACTGGGTTGCCTGGTCCTGACTCGATATTTTTACAGACCACCGTCATATAGCTGGAATATTGCTGAGTGCGGCGTTAAACAACCAACGAAGTATCAGAACAACACATGGACCTCTCTCTGGTAGTATATATGAGCGAGTCCCTCTACCAATGTAGATCCCTGTGTTAAAGATATGAACATCCTCTTGTTTCTCGCAGTGCTGTGGAGGAGTACGTAGACTGTGTGAGTCAGGCCACCAACGCCTGTACCAGACTGGGCATAGCCGAGCTCCAGACAGCGGCAGACAGGATGAAGACCTACGCCATCTGTAGAGGTAGGACCTGCTTCCCTGCCTCCATGCCCAGCCTGTTCCAATATCAATAATGATCGAGGAAGCATATAATCTTAAAACTGGCATCCTTAGTGAGTTTTGTGTTACCCCGCCTTTACCAATATTCTGCGGAGCACACCAAAAAATGGGCTGCCCACATTAATTCGTTTGTTTGTTTGTTGTTTAACGCCGCACTCAGCAATGTTCCAGATTAAAATCCTGGTATAATAGGTCTACAGCAACCCGTAAAAGGCGACAATGCTTGTCGGAAGAGGCGAAAAACCGGATCGGGTAATGCATGTCATCGTATCCCAATTGCGTGGTTCGTTGCTCATGGTATCAATCACTGGGTTGTCTGGTCCAAACTATTTACAGACCGCAGTCATATAGCTGGAATATTGCTGAGTTCGGTGTTAAACAAGAAACCAACCAACCACAAACAGTATGCTGAACATATTATTGTTGTATTTGTCATCCATCTCATCATCTCCAGGGCGCGTATTTCGGTAAACCGACACCAACTCCTAGATCTATTCCCGTGGTTATCGTGATCTCAAATTACCTGCCCTTGATTTCATTAGCCAATTTGATTGGCTACGCTACTCAGTCTAACGGCCCAATCAGAATACGAGTGTCAAACCAGCCCAAATGTTGGGTTGGCAATATGAACAACATCGCGACCAGTCCCACTGATTACGATACAGTTTGCGAGAAATCCTTTTGATGGAAAGGATGTCTCCATGTCCCTTTGCTACCAAGCATTCTCTGTCATATGCCAATTTCCTTTTTGCTTAGCTTGACGTTTGATCGATCGGTAAAATATTATTTTATTAATTAATTGCGGGTAATTAAAGATCACGAGAGACACTGGAATTGATCCAGGTGTTAGTGTAGGTTTACCGAAATGCGAGCCCTAGAGAAGTAGAGGTTGTGTATTTGTCAGTTTGAATATGTGCAGGAAGGTCACTTTGACATTTCAGGAACTCAATCGTCCCTCCCACAACTAGGGCTGGTGGTAATAGGAACACTCTTTGCAACCTGCTGGAGGTACAGACATGCGGAGACGTCATATCAGTGAATAGTCACTTGTTGTTTTGTTTGATTGGGATTTGTCTGACTATTGGCCACGCTTTTGCACCATTGAAGGGGAACGCCCTTGTCACGAGTCAGTGGTCATAATATAGTAATAATTAATGTTATTGCAAAGAATATATATATATATATATATATATATATATATATATATATATATATATATATATATATATATATATATATATATATATATATATGATAGGATATAGAGGTCATTTTGGTTTTGTTTGATATGTGATTGCTCAAAATCCCTCACTTATGAGGTGCTAAACACATTAATACATAACAATGAACTAAGGATGTGATGTATTACCTTCTGTGACAAACATAAACGGCATGCTTAAGGTGGAGCAAGATGGCGATGTTTTTTCTTTCAGAGCTTTGCTCATAGCAACTTTGTAGTATATATATACAATGCAAACACACAAACCACAAACACGACAGCCTGCAATTCAAACGTCCTCATGATAAAATACCTCACAAATGAAACTGATAGATTTGAGGCTTACAATCAACATGAAGTAGAAAAATAGATTGTATTTCAACAACAGCAACGAAAGCAGGTAGCGAAAATAAACAATATCCAGTTTGTAGAATAACTGTTTGCAGCTGAACAAGTATGCCGTTTATGCAACAAATTCAATCCATCAACAGACCCGTGAAGATCCGGGGTGGAATAGAACTTCAGCAACCCATGCTTGCCGTAAAAGGCAACTATGCTTGTCGTAAGAGGCGACTAAAGTTTGTTTGTTTGTTTTGTTTGTTTGTTTAACACCGCACTCAGCAATATTCCAGCTATATGACGGCGGTCTGAAGTTGACTGAAGTGCTGTGGAGGAGTACGTAGACTGTGTGAGTCAGGCCACCAACGCCTGTACCAGACTGGGCATAGCCGAGCTCCAGACAGCAGCAGACAGGATGAAGACCTACGCCATCTGTAGAGGTAGGACCTGCTTCCCTGCCTCCATGCCCAACCTGTTCCCATATCAATAATGATCGAGGAAGCATATCATCTTAAAACTGGCATCATCAGTGAGTTTTGTGTTACCCCGCCTTTACCAATATTCTGCGGAGCACACCAAAAATGGGCTGCACACATTATTTTGTTTGTTTGTTTGTTTGTTGTTTAACGCCGCCCTCAGTAATATTCCAAGATCCTGGTAGAATAGGTCTTCAGCAACCCGTAAAAGGCGACAATCCTTGTCGAAAGAGGCGACAAACCGGATCGGGTGATGCATGTCATCGTATCCCAATTGCGTGGATCTATGGTCATGATGTCAGTCACTGGATTGCCTGGTTCCAGACTCGATTATTTACTCAAACTCATACCCAAAATGTGTGCATCGTCAGAATGAAATGCGAACATATGCGACTTGCAAACACATACAATGCAAACACACAAATCACAAACACGACAGCCTACAATTCAAACGTCCTCATGATGAAATACCTCACAAATGAAACTGGATTGCCTGGTTCAAACATATACAAGTCAAAAGGAATGTGTGCATCGTCAGAATGAAATGCGAAGAACATATGCGACTTGCAGTGTAACCACTGAGCTACAGTGAGTTTTTGTCATTAAACAATATATCACCTATAAAACCGGGTAGTACTGTGGGTACCCGGGTCCTACTCAGGACCCACCCGAACCGAGCACCTATTACCTATCCCAGCTCTACTGGTTATGCGTATCATTCCCCGACAGCGTGGTACTTTGCTCATAACATCAATCACTGGATTGTCTTGTCCAGACCCTTTTATTTACAAGCCACCGTCATACAATTGGAATTTTGCCAGAATGCAACGTTTAACAACAAACAACACAATTAAGTGCTTCAGTATGACAAGAGCTGCGCGCACTGTTCTCTTGGTGATCTGAGCATAAAAGCGACAAAACCATTTCCATCTTCATAAGAAATATATGCCAAAAGCAGAGACGATTGTACGATTCAGACTTTATCATGAGCATGAATTATTATCAAATAGTTATGACACCAGGTGTCAGGGAAAAGGTGAGCGTCTACATACGTCATGGTGTGTTCACTTTTCTAGGTATACTAGTATTTGCATACGTCATGGTATATCTACATACGTCATGGTGTGTTCACTTTTCTAGGTATACTAGTATTTGCATATGTCATGGTATATCTACATACGTCATGGTGTGTTCCCTTTTCTAGGTAAATGTCACCGAAGTGGTAAACGTATGCAGACATACCCAGAAAAGTGAACACACCATGACGTATGTAGATATACCATGACGTATGTAGATATACCATGACGTATGCAAATATATATTTAGAAAAGAGAACGCACCATGACGTATGTAGATATACCATGACGCATGCAAATATATATTTAGAAAAGGGAACGCACCATGACGTATGTAGATATACCATGACGTATGTAGATATACCATGACGTATGCAGATATACCATGACGTATGCAGATATACCTAGAAAAGTGAACACACCATCACCATCCTCCCACATCAAGCTGACTTGCCATGGTGATGTCACTGGAATACTGTTCGAATCGCAAGTAAACCAAACACACTCACTCTGACTGGTACTGTTTCCAAGTATGAAACAGTTTAAAACAAGTTGAATCATAAAGAAATGGGACAAAAACGTTTTCCTAATCATGAGAAATCTGTACTAAAAAGAGTCTATTTACGATTCGACTGTATCCTGAGCACGCGTTCATGAATCACTATCAAGTAGCGATGATGACAGGTGAGCGTATCCTGCCCCATCGGTGTCACCCGTCACAAACACATGCAAAGGCAAAGAAGTTGTTTACATAAAAAACAACACGGAAATATAGTACACGTCAGAATAGGGAATTGCAACGGTCACAATTTCTGTGACAGCAAATATGGAAATCCTCTCCACAAATCTGTTATAAAGCTTCATAAAAGCTTTGCCGAGGCCTTGAATGTTGTAACCCGGATGAAACAACTTTTGAGCACAAGTCCCATGTCGCTCTTTGACATCTTCGAAGATTGTACCTTAAAGGTTGTGAAATGTAGACACCAAAGGCTGGAGCCGCGGGAATATTGCTCGACATGAAGGGAAAGTTGACTATTCAATATGGAACTGATGAGGCGGTCTCATGAATAAACATTTGTGTCCATGTTTGTGTAGCGGCCATAAAATGTCCGAGTCCCGTGATGGGATTCGAACCACGGACCTTCTGATCCGAGGTCGGACGCCTTGTTCCCATGACCATTGAGACAAGCTGACAAGGTAAGGATGTCATCTTTGGGATGACTCCACGCCCTGCTACATACTCCCCCGTCAACAGAAGGCACGTCCCGGGCCGCATAGTAGGGTACTGAGGCTTATTTTGCTCAAATTTAATATGAACGTGCTCAGCCCCACGTTGGGCGCTAATGTAGCGGCCATAAAATGTCCGAGTCCCGTGATGGGATTCGAACCACGGACCTTCTGATCCGAGGTCGGACGCCTTGTTCACATGACCATAGAGGTTAACCCCGTCAGCAAGCTGACAAGGTAAGGATGTCATCTGTGGGATGACGCCACGCCCTGCTACATTTGCACAATGAATAAGTATGTAATTAATTACCAAAGCATGAAAAATACACAGGGAACAACATACTAGTATATGCATCTACAGTTTTGTTTCCCATGACGATATCGCACTGGGTGTGACTAACCACATTACAGTCTTCAACACACACTTGAAACAGTATTGATTTTTAAGTTAATGTACCCGACAATAAACACACGCGGTTGAACTGTTATTACTTAGTAAGGGCCCGTCCCACAGATCACTCGTAACACAATGACATTCCTAGACATTCAACATTACTTCATCAGAGGCTTCATCTTGTAGAAATCCATAAACATCATCAGAATTTACTAATGACAGAATTCATCAATAAGTGTGCTTTCGGAAACAAACAGCTTGACACTAATGAATGCGTATCAAGTCTAGTACATTGTTAAATTCCACTTTCAAATGATAATGAGTGAAAGAACGGTGACTGTAACAAAGTTAAATACACACCTCACACATGAAATATAGATACAAACAGCTGTTGCATCGACCTGAGTGATACCAATCGCCTTTGTGTCTGGTCCAGACTCAATTATTTATAGGCGTAAACCCGTGAAGATCCGGGTAGATGATAGATTTTCAGCAACCCATGACTAATGGGATCGGTTTGTCAGGCTCGCTGTCTTGGTTGATGCATGTCATCATATCCCAATTGCCCAAATTGCTGTCAATCAGTGGATTGTCTGGTCAAGACTCGATTATTTACAGCCTGCAGTCATAAAAAGCTGGAAAGTTGCTGGTAGCAGCGTTAAACAACCAACAGACACATTAATAGGTGTAAATAATGCGGTGTTTAACAACAAGGGGTTGTGGGGTAGCCTAGTGGTTCGCTCGTCACACCGAAAGCCCGGGTTCGATTCCCCACATGGGTAGAATGTGTGAAGCCCATTTCTGGTGTCCCCCGCCGTGATGTTGCTGGACTATTGCTAAAAGCAGCGTAAAACCACACTCACTCACTTTAACACCAAATAAACACATTGATAAGTGCCTTTAATAACCTGCGTCATACATCAATGTAACAATTGTCAGCGAGAAAAGTCATGGTCTTTGGCTTGCTCTCACCTTAAACGCGTCTGCCTACACCTGAACACATTGGATACAAATAGAATTTCGATAGTCATTAACGCATGTGATGCAACTGTCATTGAAGCTTGACTTTTCAATATTTGATAAGGGCGTTCATTATATTTACGGTGCTTGAATCTCAGTGTAAAGATTCATGTTTGTTAGTGTAATTTGATACAAATGGTTTGCTTGTAGCTCACACAGTTTGGTAATACTCCTCACAGGTAGGCATTGGAAATGTGTTAATGTAAATGTATAATACCAGCATAACCTTTCACAGGTAGTGGTTTGGAAATGCGTAAATGTCTTACATCAACTAACCTCTCACAGGTAAGTACTGGAAAAGTGTACATGTCTGATATCAACTAACCTCTTACAGGTAAGTATTGAAAAGTGTACATTTCTGATATCAACTAACCTCTTACAGGTAAGTATTGGAAAAGTGTACATGTCTGATATCAACCAACCTCTCACAGGTAAGTACTGGAAAAGTGTACATGTCTGATATCAACTAACCTCTCATAAGTAAGTATTGGAAAAGTGTACATGTCTGATATCAACTAACCTCTTACAGGTAAGTATTGAAAAGTGTACATTTCTGATATCAACTAACCTCTTACAGGTAAGTATTGGAAAAGTGTACATGTCTGATATCAACTTAACCTCTCACAGGTAAGTACTGGAAAAGTGTACATGTCTGATATCAACTAACCTCTCACAGGTAAGTATTGGAGAAGTGTACATGTCTGATATCAACTAACCTCTTACAGGTAAGTATTGGAAAAGTGTACATGTCTGATATCAACTAACCTCTCACAGGTAAGTATTGGAAAAGTGTACATGTCTGATATCAACTTAACCTCTCACAGTTAAGTATTGGAGAAGTGTACATGTCTGATATCAACTAACCTCTCACAGTTAAGTATTGGAGAAGTGTACATGTCTGATATCAACTTAATCCTCACAGGTAAGTATTGGAAAAGTGTACATGGCCGATATCAACTTAACCTCTCACGGGTAAGTACTGGAAAAGTGTGCATGTCTGATATCAACTAACCTCTCACAGGTAAGTATTGGAAAAGTGTGCATGTCTGATATCAACTAACCTCTTACAGGTAAGTATTGGAAAAGTGTACATACATATACCTATTTTAACTGGGATACACCCTCTGTCTGCACATGCTTCAAGAACTGTTTGAAGTAATGACCGTCAAAACTTGTAATGTAATTATATCTCCACGCTTGTTATGTCTGACCTGAGTATTGTTAGGGTTAACCCGGGAAGATCCGGGGTAGAATTGGTCTCCATCAACTCATGCTTGCCGTAAGAGGCGATTAACGGGATCGGGTGGTCACACTCGCGAACTTGATTGATACATGTCATCGTATCCCAACTGCGTTGATCGATGCTCATGATGTCAATCACTGGATTGTCTGGTCCACATTCGGATATTTATAGACCGTCGTCATATCGCTGAATTATTGAGTAGAGGGATTTAACACAATTGTGCACTGCATTTCGATTTCATTTGTAGTTAGATGAATCAGATGTCATACGAGGGTTCAAAAAGTTCTAAGCCTGACTAACTTTCGACTATGGGCAATAACAAAGTGAACTTGTCAGTGAAGTACATTGTTTTAGTAGTTCATTGCAAGTGTATATTTTGAGACCGCTTGTATATTAGTGACAGCCAGATGAACGTGACAGGGGTCTAAATGGACACAGAAATAGATCACAACGAGTATCGAGCTGTCATCACGTTTTGGACTTCAGAGAAAAAGTACTCCCCAAGAAATTCATGACCGCATGTCACAAGTACATGCGGATAAGTGCATTAGCTATTCCAATGTTAAACGTTTGGCAGCTATGGGAGTACAAGCCTTGAAGATGACCCTATGTCTGGACGTCCCTCAACTTCCATCAATGAAGATTCAACCAAGGGGATAGAAAAACTTATACTGTGAGATAGACGTATTATCATTGTAGAACTTTAGGAAGCCACAGGTCATGGATCCATTGAAACCATTATTCATGAACATTTCCATATGAATAAGATATCTGCTCGTTGGGTGCCAAAGCTTCTAACTTCTGATCTTAAGGAAAAAAGAACTGACATTGCCAGTGAAGATTTAGAGCTAATGGAAGAGGATTTCGTCAAATTCAAAAAGAGATTAGTAATGATGAAAACATGCGTCTACCACTATGATCCCGAGTCAAAACGTCAATCGATGGAGTTGCATCATTCTACTTCTCCGGCACCAAAGAAATTCAAGTCTTCAAGGTCAGTGAAGAAAGTTATGGCCACTGTATTCTGGGATGCAAAGGGTGTGATCCTTGTTGATTACTTAGAAAGTCTAAAGACGATCACCGGTGCCTACTATGCTGATTTGCTTCATCGCCTGAGAGGTTCTATCAAAGAAAAGCTGCGAGGAATGCTGACTGCTGGAGTTCTATCACTTCATGACAATGCCTCTTCTCATACCTCTCTTCTTGCAAAGGCTGCTGTGCGACAATGTGGGTTCGAAGAGCTTCCCCACCCTCCATACTTGCCAGACCTGGCACCAAGTGATTTCCACCTGTTTCCTAAATTGAAAGAACGACTTCGACAAAGATGACCTCAAAGCTGCCGTGAATGGGTTTTTCAGGGTGGCATCAGAAAACATTTTCCTGACTGGACTTAAAAAGCTTCACAATCGATGTGAGAAGTGTATTGAAAAGCAGGGAGAACATATTGATAAATAAAAAAAACCTAAAAACTAAAATTTTGTTGTTGTTGTTAGGCTTAGAACCTTTTGACCAGCCCTCGTACCTCCAGAGCAGTCACTTATCAATTTCTTAACTCTCTTTTACAGAATCCCGTTGATCATATCAAGAGTTGCTAACCAGTTCTCAAAATGGAGAATGTTCTTTTGCTCTCATTTACTGATCTCAGTCCGGCCTCTTCAATCTATTCATTTGTTCCGACGGTGGTAATGTGCGCCATCAACTGTGTACACACCTACAACTGCATATCCGTGTTCTACCACGAGGAAACAAGCCAGTGTAGCCTGTGTCCCATCATCTACAGGGAGGATTCCCCATCTCTCACTCCATCACCTGGGATGATGTACTACAGACGTGAGTCCAATTTATTGTGTATTTTGGAGAATAAACAACGACCTACTGGGAATTACGGATTTTACACATCTTCTCGAGGCAAGGGAGTAAAGACAATAAAGCGACAAAACCCTTTCCATTTCCAATAGAAATTTCTGCATAAAGCAGAGTCGATTGTACGATTCCGACAATATCATGAGCATGTGTTAAAAAGTCCAGTTTCCACCCCCTTGCCGAAATAGGCTGGAATTTCGTGGCTCCATCCCAGTGGCTGATGAATGATGTTAATCCCGAGCCTTTGGCGAGGGACTTACATCGTTCATACACGAGATAGATAATCCGTCATTTCTAGTTTCGCGTAGGGTATTCTATTACCCATTGGTATTTTCAGAGAGAAAAGTAAATACGTATGAAATGTCAACCCTACGGAGAAACCCTATATCGCATTACCACTGAATAAAGTTGTCTGTTTAATGCTTAACGCCGAACTCAGCAATAGTCCAGCTATAAGACGGCGATCTGTAAATAATCGGGTCTGGACCAGATAATCCAGTGATTGACATCATGAGCATCGACCTACGCAATTGGTAAACGATGGCATGCATCGTGATATGACTGGAATACTGTTAAAAGCGGCGTTAAACCCAACTCTGGTGGTAGAGATTATAAAATGGACGCCAACATGGCTGGACTCTCTAATTGTGCCAATCTATACTCAATATATCATAATCATCTTGCCAATATTAGTACGTTATTAAGGATCAATTGCAACAATGATGTATGTAATTCAAATCTATCTTGCAGCGCCCCCTGGTGGGGACGAAGATCTAAGATAGATGCCCAAATGACGGAATTTTCAGAAATTGTCAACTGTTTATTCACAATATCAGTATCATTTGTTCAATTCAATTAAATTTGGCTTAAAACACTTCCAAGCTATATGGGCAATTGTTATGTTTCAGCACTGCAGAAGTGTCCTCAGGGATCCGTCCACTTTGCAACAGAGTCCGTCTGTGTTATCCTGATGGCAGGAAAATCTAATTTCACTGTTGCAAACAACGAATGTTCAAGACAGACATTCTATGGGGCCAGTTACCGTTTGATTACTTTTAAAACCCCTGAGAAGTATCAGGAAGTTATCAAGTTCTTGGCCACGGGCACAGGTAAGGTGGCATTCTGTATCCATTCATATAACTTTCACCGCTATTTTGCCTTTTACACCCAATAGAACCCGTTCAGTCGGACTGGTTATCAAGTTATCTGGCTGTTATAGACTGGTTACTCTCTGGTGTTGATGTTGTATAGCTTCATTTACATTCTGGTTGAGCGGGACAGTGCATGTCTGTGGCAAAATCAATTGTACCAAGCAGCTACGTTGCTCGAAAGAAACATTTATCCATCTCTACACACACGATCAACATTGCAAGACATTCTTCAACCTTTTCCCAACCAAGGCTTATCACTATTGGATAGTGATTCATAAACACAGATGTAGTCGGAGTCGTCAACTGGACTCACCCTTTAGCAGAGATTTCTTCTTTGCTTATGGGAAGCTTTTATTCAATATCATAAACTGTAGCTAAAAGTGATGGAAACGAGCATTGACAAAATAAAAGTTTCGTATCATTGCATATATCTGACAAGCGACATCTTCATTAAGCCGAGTGTAGTGAGTGTGTGAGTTTAAATTTTATGTCTCACTTGCAATGCTTCAAGTATATAAACTGTAAAACTGTGTTTAGAATGTACACACATACAAGATCTAAACATGTTTTGGAATGTGTTTACATCTTCTATACCCCACATTTAGACACTAAATATGTTTAGCTGTTAAGACAATCCTAAACATCTTTGGGAATGTCATTTACATCTTCTATACCCCACATTTAGACCCTAAATATGTTTAGCTGTTAAGACAATCTTAAACATGTTTGGGAATGTGTTTACATCTTCTATACCCCACATTTAGGCACTAAACACATTTAGCTGTTAAAACAATCTTAAATTTGATTAGATGCCAAACATGTTAAGACCCTTAAAGTGTAAACTTACGGGACAAGGAACGCGCTTTGGTTTGCCTCGAATGTCGAACTCGTCCCCTCTGATCACGTTGCAGTGGGCTCATTTAATCATTATATGTGTTATAGTCAATGTGTAAAATGACAGACATTTTGACTTAGGCAAAATATTTCAGATATTTAAAATACGTTCTTAAGAAGTTCACAAGAGCTTAAAAACATCACAAAAGACTAATCATGCTGTAACTAGAAGCCAAATGATTAACAAAATATACCTTGACTTTCGTTTTATTTTAATACTATCGTTTTCAGTCACTTGGAGATGAAATAGAGCATAAAAATGTTTGGAATTCGTTATCATTTAAGGATTGACTGTGTATTTTTTTCGGTTCATTGAGGTATGAATCGAAAAGCCGATATGCAAACTGTATGAATCCGCGTAGCGGATTCTTACAAAAGTTTGCACATCGGCTTTTCGATTCATACCTCAATGAACCGAAAAAAATATACAGTCAATGCTTATAATTAAATTCGACAACGTAAAACATGTTTTATCTACAATAGTTTAACCCAAAACAGTTGCATATAGCAAAACAGACAAAAATGACGACATTGATAAACATTCCAGGTGTAGGAATACATACAGTGGCCTGACATGAATCAGGTGATCGTTTAATTTATGCACATAGCTTGACACGCCTACACAGTCAGTAGCCAATCAACGGAGAGTGGGATTAAAACAATGTTCATTTGACCTGTCAATTAAGGCAAGAGGCGAAAAGAACTGCAACAGTCAGACTGTAACGAACCGGAAGAAATATGTCCGAGAGAAGGCGGCAGTTTCAAATAGCATGGTCATTTACTGCGTGATTCAAACATTACTTCCCTGATTACGGTAAATCACAGTTGGAGAAATGCTAGTTATAAATGAAACCCGAAGACATGAAAGTTGAACCGGGGCGAGCGGGAATAAAACAGGCGAGCGAGCCTGCACGTACGTTTGCTGTTTCATTCATTCTCGGCCATCGGTTTCAAAGGGTAGTTTGGACAATGAATATGCATGAAAGTCGCTAAATGTCCTGTGCATGACGATACACGTGAGCAGAAAGGGAATTCCCTCGACTGTAATATTGGGATTCCCCGACATTCCGAAGTAATAAAAGTAGTGCGCCGCGGTGGGCGTGGCTTAATTTTTTACGTTCATTGGGAAATGAATGCAATAACACGTGACCAATTCAGCTAATCAGAATGCAGGAATTTCCATGAACACAACGAAAATTTAATTATAAAATATTAAATGGAAAAATGGCTGAAATATATAGTGTTTTTTTTAAATTGACCAAGTGAAATATTTCGCCATTTTACACATTGACTGTAACATATAGGGACTCTCCAGAGTGTCTTTTGAAATTTCAAACTTTCATCGACGAATGTTGATATATTTGACATCAAAAGATACGGGGGTGAAAATCTATTTATCTACAAAAATCATTCGTCATACCTTTTCCGTTTGTAAACAGTAAAAAACAGTCTCTTGAGTATAAAAAGTACAGCTAACAAGCTTCAGTGGTGATGGCATGTGATTGTGACGTTATGATAACCGATGACATCACAATAGTCTGAAAAGCACTGTGATGCAATTTCGCTGCAGCCATATCTCCAAGGAGATATCCTTTGATCTCACCCAAACTATATCTCCCGTGTAAGACAGTGATATTAATATATTTGTTAATGTACATAACCCAATCTTGTAAACACATATAATGAAGAAACAATGAAACAAATAACAAGGCCATCAAAGTCAATCCAATGATAGTTATTTGAACATTCAGATTAAATTAATCCATTAATTGTTTTCAAAACACTTAAGAAATGAGACGCTGTTCAGCCTGTTTGATCTTGATATGTTTTAGATGTCGAAGGGATTTGGACTGGACTGAGGTATGATGCAACCGACCGCATGTGGAAGTGGTTTGATGGATCTGTTGGCCGGGTTCAACCGTGGTATCGAAGTGAACCTAACAGCAACGGGAGGGAACCGTGTTCCGTTTTATACAAGCCTACAGAATGGACAATGCACGATAACAGCTGCTCTTTGCAAAGGAGCTTTATGTGTGAGGTTGAATTACTTTGAACATGGAATTGAACTTGCCACATCCTGCATGTTTTCTCTCTTGGCGATGATGATTTTGGTAAGGTGAGGTGAAATTAGGTTTAACGTCGCGTCCAAGATTATTGCACTTATATAGCGACGTGCATACACGTGTGTGTGTGTGTGTGTGTGTGTGTGTGTGTGTGTGTGTGTGTGTGTGTGTGTGGCTGCTTGTACTAGTCCGGACTGATACCGATTTATAATGCTAGCTCACTGAGATACCATGTCGCAGTTAAACATAAATACCCCACTCAGACACAGTATACTGACTCCGAGCCGATCAGTCCTTGTTTTAGCCGCCCCTTAATGCCGAGCGCCAGACAGGGTAACAACAAGTACCATCTTTAAACGTCTTTTGGTATGACCGAGCCGGAGATCTAACCCCGGACCTTCCGCTCTCCGGGCGGACGCTCTACCACTAGACCACGGAGGCGGTCTGATAATGTTGGACTCTGGGACGTCCGGGTCGTAAAATGGGAAATAAATGCATTGGCCATTTGTTCATAGTTGTTAAGAAGAAACCTGAATTCATCTGTGAACAGTATACTTTCCTAGTCTTCAGATGAACTTCCGATCCTGTCTGCCGCCTCCTTGGTCTTGTGGTAGAGCGTCCGCCCGGAGAGCGGAAGGTCCGGGGTTCGAACCCCGGCCGCGTCATACCAAAAGACGTTAAAAAATGGTACTTGTTGTTACCCTGTCTGGCGCTCGACATTTAGGGGCTAAAACAATGACTGGTCGGCTCGGAGTCAGTATACTGTGTCTGAGTTAGGTATTCATGTTAAACTGCGGCATGGTATCTAGTGAGCTAGCATTATAAATCGGCATCAGTCCGGACTAGTACAAGCAGCCACACACACGTGCATGCACGTCGCTATATAAGTGCAATAATCTTGGACGCGACGTTAAACCTAATTTCACCTCACCTCACCTCCGATCCTGTCCACACCATGTTAGGCGTACCTGACGATCACGTGGAATCATAAATGGGCGTTTCGCTGGGCGTCGGGGCCGGATGCCGTGCCCCCTCAACCTGTTGTGCACGGTTCTGCCAGTAATTGGTCTCGACCCAGGAATTATCCGAGCTGTTAATGTTGCAGTTTGGTATCGATTCCGTAGATGCACCAACCGACTATGGTTGTCTTGTTGATGTGACGTCACACGTAGATTACCGGCCCGTGTAGGTCATGTGTGTCGTCCTGCTGCAGATATGTTGTAGATATATCCAAATGATATTGTGTTTTGATGAACATTAAACTACCTGGCAACTTCGTTTTGCCCCACTCCTGTTTGCAGCATCACTACGGCGCGCATCACTACGGCATTTTACATCCAAATCGTGCGCCGTACATGAACATGCCCGTGCAAATTGTGAATCACGAAATCAAGAAGATGTCTTCATGAACATGTATTTAAAATTGCATTATCTAATTTCAGAATAAATTCATTTTTATTGAACTTTATATGGAGCACAGTTATTTTTTTTCCGTAAGTGTATTTCTTAATGTTTGTTTAAAGTGAACCGAAGCCATATAGTCTTATATCATGTATTGTTGTCATGTAAATTAGTGGTCGGGAGTTGCTTCCCTTGGCCAAGCAAGAAACGAATGATAGTCGGTTCGAATCCCGGTTCGCCCCGATTATGTTTCAAGGTTTGTCAGCACCATACTCGTGCTTGTGGGTTTCACCAGAGTGGTAAACGTCCGAGACCTGCATCACTCCCTGCTTTCTTCGCAAATCAAGCTGACACGCTGTGATATAACTGGAATCCTGTTAAAAGCCAAATCACTCACTCACTCACTAAGTATGTGATGTGCGACACTTAAATATTCATTACTGAAGTGTTTCAGAATTTTACAAACATGACGACGATTTCTTAAAAAGAACTATTTTAGTACAACCTAGAAGAATACATTTCCAAAATGTATACCATTCTCTTTTTATTCTGTATGTATTAACTATAGGTTGTAGATGTTCGGGAGTTCCATGTCAACCTAAGCATCACTGTTCCCATTGTCTGTGTGGTCTACAGTCCTTTCACAGAAATACTCACGTCACTGTTGTCCATTGTCTGTGTGGTCTACAGTCCTTTCCCAGACATACTCACGTCACTGTTGTCCATTGTATGTGTGGTCTACAGTCCTTTCACAGACATACTCACGTCACTGTTGTCCATTGTACCTGTGGTCTACAGTCCTTTCACAGACATACTCACGTCACTGTTGTCCATTGTCTGTGTGGTCTACAGTCCTTTCCCAGACATATTCACATCACTGTTGTCCATTGTATGTGTGGTTTACAGTCCTTTCCCAGACATACTCACGTCACTGTTGTCCATTGTCTGTGTGGTCTACAGTCCTTTCCCAGACATACTCACGTCACTGTTGTCCATTGTATCTGTGGTCTACAGTCCTTTCCCAGACATACTCACGTCAATGTTATCCATTGTTTGTTGCGGTCTACGGTCCTTGACATGGACATGTTCACACCACTGTTTCCCATTGTTTGTGTGGTCTACGGTCCTTGACATGGACATGTTCATGTCACTGTTGTCCATTGTCTGTGTGGTCTACGGTCCTTGACATGGACATGTTCACACCACTGTTGCCCATTGTTTGTGTGGTCTACGGTCCTTGACATGGACATGTTCACACCACTGTTGCCCATTGTCTGTTTGGTCTACTGTCCTTTACCCAGACATGTTCACATCACTGTTCCCATTGTTTGTGTGGTCTACGGTCCTTGACATGGACATGTTCATGTCACTGTTGTCCATTGTCTGTGTGGTCTACGGTCCTTGACATGGACATGTTCACACCACTGTTGCCCATTGTTTGTGTGGTCTTCGGTCCTTGACATGGACATGTTCATATCACTGTTGTCCATTGTCTGTGTGGTCTTCGGTCCTTTACATGGACATGTTCATATCACTGTTGTCCATTGTCTGTGTGGTCTACGGTCCTTGACATGGACATGTTCATATCACTGTTGTCCATTGTCTGTGTGGTCTACGATCCTTTACATGGACATGTTCACATCACTGTTGCCCATTGTCTGTGTGGTCTACGGTCCTTGACATGGACATGTTCATATCACTGTTGTCCATTGTATGTGTGGTTTACAGTCCTTTCACAGACATACTCACGTCACTGTTGTCCATTGTCTGTGTGGTCTACAGTCCTTTCCCAGACATACTCACGTCACTGTTATCCATTGTATCTGTGGTCTACAGTCCTTTCACAGAAATACTCACGTCACTGTTGCCAATTGTCTGTGTGGTCTACAGTCCTTTCCCAGACATACTCACGTCACTGTTGTCCATTGTATGTTTGGTCTACAGTCCTTTCCCAGACATACTCACGTCACTGTTGTCCATTGTCTGTGTGGTCTACAGTCCTTTCCCAGACATACTCACGTCAATGTTATCCATTGTTTGTTGCGGTCTACGGTCCTTGACATGGACATGTTCACACCACTGTTGCCCATTGTTTGTGTGGTCTACGGTCCTTGACATGGACATGTTCATGTCACTGTTGTCCATTGTCTGTGTGGTCTACGGTCCTTGACATGGACATGTTCACACCACTGTTGCCCATTGTTTGTGTGGTCTACGGTCCTTGACATGGACATGTTCACACCACTGTTGCCCATTGTCTGTTTGGTCTACTGTCCTTTACCCAGACATGTTCACATCACTGTTCCCATTGTCTGTGTGGTCTACGATCCTTTACATGGACATGTTCATATCACTGTTGTCCATTGTCTGTGTGGTCTACGGTCCTTGACATGGACATGTTCATATCACTGTTGTCCATTGTCTGTGTGGTCTTCGGTCCTTTACATGGACATGTTCATATCACTGTTGTCCATTGTCTGTGTGGTCTACGGTCCTTGACATGGACATTTTCATATCACTGTTGTCCATTGTCTGTGTGGTCTACGATCCTTTACATGGACATGTTCACATCACTGTTGCCCATTGTCTGTGTGGTCTACGGTCCTTGACATGGACATGTTCATATCACTGTTGTCCATTGTTTGTGTGGTCTACGGTTCTTGACATGGACATGTTCATATCACTGTTGTCCATTGTTTGTGTGGTCTACGGTCCTTGACATGGACATGTTCATATCACTGTTGTCCATTGTTTGTGTGGTCTACAGTCCTTGAGTGAGTGAGTGAGTTATTATTTAACGTCACATGGGCAATATTTCAGCCATATCGTGACGAGAAATTACATTTATGATACATTTATGATACATATATTTAAACTGAATAAAAAGCTGTCAACGAAGGACAGTAGAATAACTAGAATATCACAGACTTGATTTAAAACTAGTTGAGAATATTAAAAGGCAGTAAGCATTAATGAACATCACAATTTAAAAATGGGCTAGAAATCGTCAGCAACTGAAGGGAGATCACCATACTGGGGACCATGGGGACTTACAGTACTTTTGCTTCCTGCATGGACCCCGGCAGGATTTATATCATCCCTTCAGTCACTGGCGACAGTGTACCAGTTAAGCCTTAGATTAAAATAACGAAGATACTACGTTTAAAAGCCTAGTGTGCAGAAAAATACTTCGAATGATTTGGGACTTACATACCCTCTTAGGGGAACAATAATTTTACGCTACTTCAACCCCCCTCAAGGGTACAGCCACGAACAATCTAAGTTATGAATTTCGCACTACCAATTTGTAAAACAATACATTGAACACATCAAAATTTATGAAAAAGCTCTATTTCCTTTAAAAAACATAATATTAAACGAGAATTAACATCATTAAAAAGGTCCTTAATTGTTTTTACATTGAAATATTTATCCCTTGTGATGGAAAAATCAACACAGTCAAGCAGGACATGCTTGACCGTGATTCTTTCATCACAAGGGATACAAAACGGAGGATCCTCACCTTGTAATAAATATTCGTGCGTATATCTGCTGTGGCCAATACGACATCGTCGCATAATGACCTCTTCAAATCTTGACTGACAGCCCAAGTAGGTGTAACCGATATTTGGTTTAATTTCATGTAATTTATTGATACCTACTTGGGCGTCCCACTTCTGTTGCATAAGATCTCGGATGTAAGATCGAATCATGGGTTTAAAATCAGTGTATGGGATCAGAAGTGGTGTCACAGATTTGTTGAGGGCTGCTTTTGCAGCAGCATCGGCCATTGTGTTACCTTTAATACCAACATGGCTTGGTAACCAACAAAAGACGATGTCATATTGGCCAGTAGCAAGATCATTAAATAACTCAAGAATTTGGATTAAAAGTGGATGTTTTGAAGACATATTTTTAATTGCCTGAAGACATGAAAGAGAATCTGAAAACAGTATGAATTGTTTATGTTTAGATTGATTACTGATATATTTAAGTGCTGTAAAAATGGCGTTTGCTTCTGCAGTGAATATGGAACTGTTATCAGGTAAACGGGAAGAGATTGTTCTGGATCCAATGACAGTGGCACTAGCAACTGTGCCACCATCCTTGGATCCATCGGTAAATATAGATTTATAAGTGTCATAATTGTTTCTAAGTTGGTGGTATTCTTGTTGGTATATTAATTGGTTAGTATCTGATTTCTTAAGTTTGGTTAATGTCAGGTCTACCTCTGGCTTTACCATTTGCCAAGGAGGAGAGGAGAAAAGTTGAGTAGGAGCTATATCTTGGAGTTTAATATTTGAAGCTGATATTGCAGATTTTATTCTAATTCCGAGTGGTGGATGGAGTGCCGATTTCTTATTGTAAAGATCTTCGTAGAGAGGATGGAATATACATTCAAAAGCTGGATTTGACGGATTAGAATATAATTTAGTGATGTATTGTAGAGATAATTTTAGTCGGCGTTGTTTAAGAGAAGGCTCATCTGCTTCTATATAGAGACTGTGAATGGGAGACGTTCTGAAGGCTCCAAGACAAAGCCTCAGACCCTGATGATGTATCGTATCTAGTTTTTGTAAATTACTTTTGCAGGCTCCACCATAGATGATGGAGCCATAATCAAGTTTGGAACGAATTAGTGACCTGTACAAGTGTAAGAGGGTTGTTTGATCCCCTCCCCACTTTGAATTAGAAACAACTTTTAATAGATCGAGTGCCTTCAGGCATTTAGCTTTGAGGTATTTAATATGCGGGAGAAAAGTTAAGTGATGATCAAAAATAAGTCCCAAGAACTTGGCTTCCTTAACAACTTTGATAGGAGTGCCATTCAGAAATAGTTCAGGGTCCTTATGCGGTTTATATTTTCGGCAGAAATGTATGCAATTAGTTTTTGATTTGGAAAATTTAAACCCGTTTTCTAGACACCACTTGTTAATTTTATTAAGACATAATTGTAATTGCCTTTCAATTGTGTGCATATTTTTACCCCGACAAGATAGATTAAAATCATCCACAAAAAGTGATCCATCAACTGAATCATTTAAAACTTTGGACAAACTGTTAATTTTTATACTGAATAAAGTGACAGACAAAATACTGCCTTGTGGGACACCCTGATCCTGATTATAATGATCAGACAGGGTTGTACCCACTCGGACTTGAAATTGCCTGTCTGTTAAAAACTGGGATATAAAATGAGGCAGACGGCCTCTTAAACCAAAATCATGAAGATCTTTTAAAATACCATGTTTCCATGTTGTATCGTAAGCTTTTTCTAAATCGAAAAAGATCGATACAGCATGTTGTCTATTTACAATGGAGTTTTTAATGAACGATTCTAAACGCACTAAATGATCGATAGTACTTCTGTTCTTCCGGAAACCACATTGTATATTGGTAAGAAGATTATTTGTTTCCAAGTACCACACTAATCGATTGTTTACCATGCGTTCCATCGTTTTACAAACACAGCTAGTAAGAGAGATAGGTCGGTAATTTGATGGATCAGAATGATCCCGCGCAGGTTTGGGTATGGGGATAACAATGGCTTTATGCCATGAAGGTGGAAATGTCCCTGCTGTCCAAATATCATCGAATATATTCAACAAAGTTTCAAGACATGATTCTGGCAAGTGTTTAAGTAGCTGATAATGAATATTATCAGCGCCTGCTGCTGTATCATGAGCTTGCCCTAAGGCAGTATGTAGCTCATGTAGTGAAAATACCTCATTGTAATCTTCACCATTATCAGATGTAAAATTTACTTTTTTCTTTTCCTGTTGAAGCTGATATTTTTGAAATTCAGGAGCGTAATTAGATGAAGAAGAATGATGAGATAAAGTTTCACCAATGCTATTGGCAATGGCAGATTTATCAGTTAACAAAGTATCGCCATCCTTCAGATGGTTAACTGTAGAATTTGATCCCTTGCCTTTGATCTTTTTAATCATGTTCCATACCTTGGACATAGGGGTACGAGAGTTAATTTTGGAGACGTAAGTCCGCCAGGATTGACGTTTATTTTGCTTAAATAGACGTCTTGCCTTGGCATTTGAAATTTTTACAATATTTAAATTATGGACAGTGGGATGTTTACGGAAGTACTTCTCCGCCTTCTTACGACATTTCCTAGCTTGTTTGCAAGTGTCATCAAACCACGGTTTACGAACACGTGGGTTGATCGAGGACTTAGGTATTGATTCATCAGCAATTTCATTCAGTAGATCTGAGGACAACTGAATCGGGTCAGTAACATTTTGAAAAGACGTAGGTAGTAATTTATCTTTGCATAAAGATTGAAATAAAAGCCAATCAGCCTTCACAAAATTCCATCGAGGTGAAGGTGGATCATCAGCGGGATTAATTGGTTTAAGCACCGTGGGGAAATGGTCACTCCCACATAGGTCATCATGGACGGACCATGAGAATTCATTCAACAAAACTGAATCCGTCAAAGACAGATCTAATGATGAATACGTACCAGTTGCAGGGTGTAAGTAGGTGTCCGAGTCATCGTTAAAGATGCAGAGGTCATTATCAGAAACAAAATCCTCGATGACTTTACCCTTTTGATTAATGATAGAACCTCCCCATAAAGGATTATGCCCATTTAGATCACCCATGATGAGACAGGGCTTTGGGAGCTGGTCGTACAGTTTTTGTAGATCATTACGCTGAAGATTTGAAGATGGAGGAATGTATAAGGAGCAAAGTGTGAAGGCAATATGCAGTGTAAGTCTAACTGCAACAGCTTGCATATTCGTGTCAAGCGGAACAGGACTGTGAACAACGCCCCGCCGCACCAAAATAGAAGCTCCTCCAGTAGCTTTATCTCCCGGAGGAGAGAAGGAATGATACGAACTATACTGCCTTAAATCAAATTTGTCGGTTGTTTTAAGGTACGTTTCTTGTAAAGAAATTGCTGATGGACAAATATCTGTTGATAATAATTGCAGTTCGTTAAAATTGTGCCTAAGTCCTCGGCAATTCCATTGAATTAGATTCGAATGATTCATGGTGGTTCTACCGGAGATCGTTCACGTAAACGTGAAGAGGAGTCACCACTGTCGTGGTGTGAAGATGGGGTGACCTCCATCTCAAGAGGCTCAAAGAAATTATGAACATCTGTAGATGTGTCAGTGAGAGTAGGGATCTTAGTTGTGATTTTTCTGTTTTGTTTTTTCTTTTGTTTTTTTGCCATTTCAGTTGATGGTTTGTTGGTAGCTGGTATATCAGGAGTGGGTGAAGATGGGGCCACAACCTGAGTCACAATGATAGAATCTGGAGACATTTCACCTGGGCTGACAGAATGAGTTGTTTGACTGTCACATGATGTAGTCAGAGGCAGCGGGTGTTCAGAATGTGTCCACGTCAAGTCCGTCTGACATTCTATAGATCTACTGGTTGAAGGGCGAGAGACAGCAGCAGCAGCAGCAGCATAAGATTGTTTGGATGAAGGTGTCCGGCTATCAAAGAGTTTTTTGGCATCAAAGTAACTGATGTTGTTTTGACATTTGATTGTCAAAATGTCTTTTTCACGTGTCCAAAAAGGGCAGGATTTAGATGATGCTACATGTTCACCCTTACAATTTGTACATTTCAGGTCTGCTGTACAGCCTGTACCATCATGATTTCCACCACAACGGTGGCAAACAGTTGGACGATCACATGATTTGGAGCCGTGCCCAAACTTCTGACATTTGTAACATCGGAGCGGATTGGGGACATACACCTCCACTCCAATGTTAAAATAGCCCGCCTTAATAGATTGTGGAATTGTTGGAAGAGAAAAGGAGAACAAATATGTATTGGTTGGAACAATATTTTCACCATCTTTTCTATTGAAACGTTTCACTGATGTGACATTCTGTGATTTAAGTTCTTCCAAAATGTCATCTTCTGACATTTCTGCCAGGCAACGAGCTCTGTCGCGGATGATCCCCCGACTCGAATTCAACGTTCTGTGTTCAGAAACAACAACTTCTGTGTTAGCAAAGCTAGTACATTTTAAAAGATTAATAGCCTGCTGTCTCCGTGCACACTCCACCAAAAGAGAGCCGCTCCGGAGCCGTGAAACATTCTTCACCTCACCACAGATACCTTCAATGGCTTTAGATATTGCAAAGGGATTGATTTTCAAAGGTAGTTGATTATGTGATTCCACTACGATAAACCGAGCCCAAGAATTTGAAGTTTGTGAAATAGAAGCATCGTCGTCAGATGAGAAAATCTCAGCTTCCAGACGTCTCTTCTTGTCAGTGCGGTTTGAACCAGAATGATTGTGAGCCATGATGAAAGTAATTGATTCAGCACCCCTGCTCCCCACCCACCATGGAGTGCTACAAAGAGCGATGTTTTCCTGCACCGGATCTCCAACATGCAAACATCAGGGATACAGAGGTGTTATACTCCAGTAAGAACAACATGAATAGCTGCATTTGTCTAACAAATAAAATGCCAGGCTGGTCCGGCCCATGACAAGAAATTGAAGACATACAGAACTCAGAGGTCGAAAGTACCAGATTGGCCCATGAGCCACCGCCTTCTGGCGTAAGACTCTAGGCAAATTTTTCAATCCAAAATTGAGAATACACACAAGTTATGGACGGCCAAGGCCAAAATATACATTAAAAGACAACACAGATGTGCATATACAATATTACGCACAGGGCCTGGCATGACCAGCCGATTGATAAGACCGGGCCCATCTTACCACCCGTCTAGGCGAAGTAAGGGTCGAAGTAGTGTGTTGGGCAAAGGAACACAGTTCCAGGAACCAGTGCCCTCAACTACCAGACTCCCGTCCTCCGCCGACACAGGGACGCAACCCACGGCAAACAGGTTGCCCATTTTAGTCGCCTCATACGACCAGCAATGGGAGGCTGTGGAAATATTCTGCCCCGGTTCCACACGGGGGAAGAGCGATTAGCGTTACCCAGCACTCACCACGAGGAGGTTGCTCTTCACGAGTGCCTACAGTCCTTGACATGGACATGTTCACACCACTGTTGCCCATTGTTTGTGTGGTCTACGGTCCTTGACATGGACATGTTCATGTCACTGTTGTCCATTGTCTGTGTGGTCTACTGTCCTTTACCCAGACATGTTCACATCACTGTTCCCATTGTCTGTGTGGTCTACGATCCTTGACATGGACATGTTCATATCACTGTTGTCCATTGTCTGTGTGGTCTACGGTCCTTGACATGGACATGTTCATATCACTGTTGTCCATTGTCTGTGTGGTCTTCGGTCCTTTACATGGACATGTTCATATCACTGTTGTCCATTGTCTGTGTGGTCTACGGTCCTTGACATGGACATTTTCATATCACTGTTGTCCATTGTCTGTGTGGTCTACGATCCTTTACATGGACATGTTCACATCACTGTTGCCCATTGTCTGTGTGGTCTACGGTCCTTGACATGGACATGTTCATATCACTGTTGTCCATTGTTTGTGTGGTCTACGGTCCTTGACATGGACATGTTCATATCACTGTTGTCCATTGTTTGTGTGGTCTACGGTTCTTGACATGGACATGTTCATATCACTGTTGTCCATTGTTTGTGTGGTCTACGGTCCTTGACATGGACATGTTCATATCACTGTTGTCCATTGTTTGTGTGGTCTACGGTCCTTGACATGGACATGTTCATATCACTGTTGTCCATTGTTTATGTGGTCTACGGTCCTTGACATGGACATGTTCACACCACTATTGTCTGTGCAGTACAGTTGTACGTTTGTTTTTCTTGATTAGAAAGAAATATAAATGTTAACAATCACTTTTTCAGTGAATGATGTCATTTAGTAACATTAATTCGCTATACAGCATTGGTAAAGAATATCAACAACAATTTGGCAAACAGTGGCATTGGGTATATTAGGTTTGGCACTGTCTGCCATTTTGAATCTCTGTTAGTCCATTTTTCTTCAATATAATTGACCTGTAATGTGTCATCTGAGGAATTAGGTTTATACATTTAATGGGAATGATTTAAGGTTTGCAAATTCATGAAGAGGTGTCCTGTATTGTCTTGAAAGCTTAAGTGAGTGAGTATTGTTTTACGCCGCTTTTAGCAATATTCCAGCAATATCACGGCGGGGGGCACCAGAAATGGGCTTCACATTGTACCCATGTCGGGAATCGAACCCGGGTCTTCGGCGTGACGCGCGAACGCTTTAACCACTGGGCTACCCGACCGCCCTGAAAGCTTAAGACAACCATGGGTTGTAAATCGAACTTGTGATAAACCCATTTGTAGCCTAAGATTAGCAACCGCCTCCGTGGTCTTGTGGTTTAGCGTCCGCCCGGAGAGCGGAAGGTCCAGGGTTCGATCCCGGGCCGCGTCATACAAAAAGACGTTAAAAGATTGTACTTGTTGTTACCCTGTCTGGCGCTCGGCATTAAGGGGCTAAAACAAGGACTGGTCGGCTCGGAGTCAGTATACTGTGTCTGAGTGGGGTATTCATGTTAAACTGCGGCATGGTATCTCAGTGAGCTAGCACTATAAATCGGCATCAGTCCGGACTAGTACAAGCAGCCACACACACACATACACGTGCATGCACGTCGCTATATAAGTGCAATAATCTTGGACGCGACGTTAAACCCAATTTCACCTCACCTCACCTAAGATTAACTGATATATGCTTTCCATTGTAAATGAGGATGACCCCGTTTGGATCAGGGTTCGCATTACTCAATTAAAACATGACGTCAGAAGAGGTCTGAAGTTCTGACTCATGTACAGCTCGGGCACGGAGGATAACAGGACAGTGCAATAAAGCGACAAAAGCCTTTGCCATATCCAATAGAAATCTCTGCATAAAGCGGGTATACTATTAAAAACGGCGTTACACCCACTCCACTCGCTCGCAATACACTGCATGTATAGAGTGTGAGATTAATGTATTGTTCTACATTCTCTATTCACTGTTCCATTTGTAATTTTCACAACAATGTGTTCCAGAAATGGCGTTATTAGTGGTGGACCACTTCCCCTGTCCTTGCCAAATGACTTTCGTGAATGCATACATAATTGTTGTTTCTGATCACTTGGGCACACTGAACTTTCATTGTTGTTTAAATGTGCATACACAAGGAATAGTCAGTTCTTTTGATTGCATATACCACTTTTATACTGAGCACACAAGGGCTCGCAGTTTCCTGTGAATAAATTATCTACCGTCAGTTTGGTGCATTGTAAACTTCCAACAGAAACACCAGAAAAATGAATGTTATGTCGTCTTGTCCACCAGCATCAATTGGCATGTTGGTTCCCCCTGCTGGGCTTGCATCTCTGACCTGCTCCTCAATGTTCTACCACAGGGACACTCAGACAATCCAGTGATTAATATCATGAACATCGAACCGCGCAATTGGGATCGATGACATGTATCAACCAAGTCAGCGAGCCTGACCACCCGATCCCGTTAGTCGCCTTTTACAACAAGCATAGTCGCCTTTTACCTCAAGTATGGGTTGCTGAAGACCTATTCTACCCCGGAATCTTCACGGGTCTAGGCCCAAAGGACAAAGGACCATTTAGAAATTATATTTTTTAATATTGTAGTAAATACTTTTCCTAAAATGCTCATTAATGAAATACCTCCATAATTATTTGGGTCACCCCTGTCTCCTTTTTTATGCAGGGGGAATATTATAGAACATGGCCAATTGCTGGGGAAAACTCCATTTTCGAATAACTCTTTGAAACATTTGCAAAGAAAAGGCATACTTTCAAATCTAGAGCATTTCAACATTTCGATAACTTCATCATCAGGACCAGCTGCTTTTCCATTTTTGAGGTGATTTATCGCATCTGTTATTTTGTTTTCAACAATGGGTGAATATAGCGTAACTTTATCAACATCCACGTAGCATTCACTGAAATAATTTCGCATATCATCCATTGCATCATTTGAAAAAAAAATAAACTGACTAAGTCACTGCGATTTTGTTATCTGTAGCAGAAGATCTATTCTTGAGAGATCGTATTTGTTTCCAGAACGCAGAAGGGTTGTTGATAGACGTTTTCAGTTTGTCTTGTCAATGTCCGCGCATATTAAATTTGTATTTCCGACAGCAATTTTTATATTTATTCCTACTTTCGCAATATTTCCTTCTGTTAAGACTAGTACGAGTAGTTCTAAATTTTCGTAGCGCTTTTCGGGCGTCACGTCAATTCTACATCCAGTATTAAAAGTTTTATTTTTATCTATGTTCAGTTTTAATTCTTTTCTAATTCAAGATGCTGAAGTTAACATAATTTCAACAAAGTCATCAATTGACCCTTCAATATTATTATCAAGTTTATCGAGAAGTAACTGTTTAAAATATGTTATACTTTCTTGTAGATGTTCAGAAAGTTGTTCGAAAGTTCGTCATTCCATATTAGTTTCTTCTAAGTGACACCCTCATGTTTTAGTTTGTTATATGTTTGATTCATATGAGGGAACTTACAAGCCAATTCTAAAGGTAATTGGTCAGAATCTAGACGATCGCCAATATTCAACATGGTAATATAATGAAAGAAATCGGGAGAGCATATAAAATAATCATTAACGCTCGCACCTTGGTTTCCACAATAGGTAAATTCTCCAAGGGTATCCCCATACACTCTCCCATTGACAATGAACAACTGAAATGCACACAACAACATATCTAGCAGCATCTGACCAAATTTATTTTATAACTGTGTCATGGGATTTCCGATCTCCAACACAAACGTTTTCATTTCCTGGAAATGAACAGTTACTATGTACAAAATCGTTTTGTAGATCGACCAGAGGATTGCTTTGTTGACAAGACTCCACAGACTACACTGATAGAATATTTAAGCTGCGACTGATTATCTAACAGAGACTCTTCAAGATGGTCAATACTGCAGTTTGAGACCACATGGTTATAATATGTCGAGCCAGCTGGTGGTATGTACTCGTATGATAAAAAATCAGCATCATCAATTTTGTTTCGAAGTCCATTAATATTCCAACTTACAAAGGCAAATGCTCGCTTGGACAATCAACGCTCAACGTAACACCGGTGTTGATCACGTTAGGACCTTGCGAAAAACTATCCGGGCCTCGGCCAATATCCTAGCTGATAGAAGCATGTGACACTGTTTTTCCATCCGTTCTTTTCTGAAAAGATCGGCTTTCTCGTGTCGTGTCTGCAGTACTAAACGTAGTTGATGCTGTTTCCGTGGTGCGGGGTTTTGTCATCAATCGACCATCCTTACTGAGAAGCTTTAATACAAAGAATTGGCAAAGAAAGGCATCATTGGAATATGCCCTGAGTTGGTCTTCATCACTGATCAGGAATCTAGCCATTTGGAACTTGTTTCCATGTAAATGATATATACGTCAACGCCAGGAAATAACCAGCCTCTGGCATCCACCGCAACCGTTTCCACTGAGCGTAAAAGGCAAAAGGAATTCCTAGTTTCAACACGAGGACATTTGAGAGAGTTTCTCCGGCATTGCATCCACTGCCATTCTTCAACACAAACAGGTAAACAAAATTAATATTTAAAGTTGTCAAAAAAGGAACAACTTGATATCTTATTTTAAATATGCCCTGCCTTTCTACGGTAATATTGAACAAGTTTGGAAACAGCCTTCAGAAATGTAAATGTTCAGTGAGGAGATTGGAGTTCTGACTTTGAGATGCGATATGAGACCATTCCACTCTTTTCACCTAGTGTTATAATACTATTATTGTTTTGCTCTATGACGTCTATACGCACATGAATAGTTTTCTGATATTGTTTTTGAAAAAGTCATGTTGTAAATACCTCCGCGATATCATTCAATGTTAATGTTCAAATATGAGCTGAGAATACCGTGTGACTGACTTTGTGTCATCATGCCCCAATTGTTTCGGTAACGGTGTGGGTAACGGTGTGGGTAATGGTGTGGGTAACGGTGTGGGTAACGGTGTGGGTAACGGTGTGGACATTGGTGTGGGTAACGGTGTGGGTAACGGTGTGGACATTGGTGTGGGTAACGGTGTGGGTAACGGTGTGGACATTGGTGTGGGTAACGGTGTGGGTAACGGTGTGGGTAACGGTGTGGACATTGGTGTGGGTAACGGTGTGGACATTGGAGTGAGTAACGGTATGGCTAACGGTGTGGGCATCGGTGTGGGTATCGGTTTGGGTATCAGTGTGGGTATTGGTGTTTGTAACTGTGTAGGCATCGGTGTGAGTATTGGTGTGGGTATTGGTGTGGGTAATGGTGTGGGTATCGGTGTGGATATTGGTGTTGGCGTTGTTGTGGTAATGGTGTGGGTATTGGTGTGGGTATTGGTGTGTGTAACGGTGTGGGTATTGCTGTGTATAACAGTGTGTGTTATGGTGTGTGTAATGGTGTGTGTATAGGTGTGGGTAACGGTGTTGGTATAGGTGTGGGTATTGGTGTGGGTATTGGTGTGAGTATCATTGCGGGTATTGTTGTGGGCATTGATGTGGGTAACGGTGTAGGCATCGGTGTTAGTAAAGGTGTGGACATTGGTGTGGGTATCGGTGTGGGTATTGGTATGGGTATTAGTGTGGGTATCGGTGTGGGTATTGGTGTTGGTAACGGTGTGCACGTGAGTATTGGTGTGGGTAACGGTGTGGATAACGGTGTGGGTATTCGTGTGGATAACGGTGTGGGTAACGGTGTGGGTATTGGTGTGGGTATAGGTGTTGGTATTCGTGTGGATAACGGTGTGGGTAACGGTGTGGGTATTGGTGTGGGTATAGGTGTTGGTATTGGTGTGGGTAACGGTGTGGGTATTGGTGTGGGTATAGGTGTGGACATTGGTGTGGGTATTGTTGTGGGTATCATTGTGGGTATTGTTGTGGGCATTGGTGTGGGTAACGGTGTGGGTATTGGTGTGGATAACGGTGTAGGTATTGGTGTGTGTAACGGTGTGGGTATTGGTGTGTGTATAGGTGTGGGTATTGGTTCGTGTAACGGTGTGGGCATTGGTGTGGGTATAGGTGTGTGTAACGGTGTGGGTATTGGTGTGTAAAGTTGTGGGTATTGGTGTGTGTAACGGTGTGGGTATTGGTGTGGGTATAGGTGTGGGTATAGGTGTGGGTATAGGTGTGGGTATAGGTGTGGGTATTGGTGTGTGTAACGGTGTGTGTAACGGTGTTTGTAATGGTATGGGTATCATTTTGGGTATAGGTGTGGGTATGTTTGTGGGTATTGGTGTGGATAACGGTGTAGGTATTGGTGTGGGTAACGGTGTGGGTATTGGTGTTGGTATAGGTGTTGGTATAGGTGTTGGTATAGGTGTGGGTATTGGTGTGGGTATTGGTGTTGGTATTGGTGTGGGTTAATTGTGGGTATTGTTGTGGGCATTGGTGTGGGTAACGGTGTGGTTAACGGTGTGGGTAACGGTGTGGGTATTGGTGTGGGTATTGGTGTGGGTATCATTGTGGGCATTGGTGTGGGTAACGGTGTGTGTATTGGTGTTGGTATAGGTGTGGATAACGGTGTTGTATTGGTGTGGGTATTGGTGTGGGCATTGGTGTGGGTATTGATGTGGGTATTGGTGTGGGTATTGGTGTGTAAAGTTGTGGGTATTGGTGTGTGTAACGGTGTGGGTATTGGTGTGGGTATAGGTGTGGGTGTTGGTGTGTGTAATGGTGTGGGCATTGGTGAGGGTATAGGTGTGTGTAACGGTGTGGGTATTGGTGTGTAAAGTTGTGGGTATTGGTGTGTGTAACGGTGTGGGTATTGGTGTGGGTATAGGTGTGGGTATAGGTGTGGGTATAGGTGTGGGTATTGGTGTGTGTAACGGTGTGTGTAACGGTGTTTGTAATGGTATGGGTATCATTTTGGGTACAGGTGTGGGTATGTTTGTGGGTATTGGTGTGGGTATTGGTGTGGGTAACGATGTGGGTAACGGTGTGGATAACGGTGTGGGTATTGGTGAGGGTATTGGTGTGGATTGTTGCTTAAAAGTTTTAAAAAAATAGAATTTAGCTCATTCAGTCATACACCTTTTGGGTATTTCTGATTGCAGCGTATGACAACATTCCATGAATCATGAACCATTTAAACGCCAATGTGCTAGCTTTAAGCAGGAAGAGAGCCATAATCGGTCTGAGCTGACAGACTAGGGTCAACTCGTTCGAAAATCGCGACCAGTGGATCCTGGTAAAGCTAAGAGACGCATTAACATTTCCACAGCTCAACTTGGTACTTTTTATACATTTCGTAAAATCTTCACCACCAAAATAAAAATGATGGATAACATCTTGGTGGGTGATAAAACAATTAAAAGACCCTGAGTGACTACGAAAGTCTAATGATGCCACTTTGGTAGCATACTTTTTAAACAAATCTTTTTATTTCAACTATTTGTTTATTCCTTCATGATTGCAATTATTTTCCGGTTGTTTCGAATATTTGAGTGAAACTAAAATTGACCACATGACGTCAACAACGATATGTTATGATGTCATTATGTACTGTGACGTCAACAATGGTATCTGAAATACGTAGAAAATGCAATTGGGCGTGTGATATAGCTATGCGCATCATTCAGCGTATGTACTATGTTGACATCATTATATTATAAATTTTATAGCCATCCATAAAAAATGCTGTAAGCAATTTTCTTTTCTTTATGTAAATATAAATTAGACAACAAATTATGGATAAAAACTTCTTCTTTATACTTTGTCATTCGCCAACTTCTAACAATTGTCTATCAAACGATTCCGATAATATTGATGATGTTTTTTAGATTGCCGACAATTGCAATTATGCTGAAAATATTTCATTGTGTAGTAAGAATTAGCCCAATGCAACGTGCCATACAAGAGATATCAATGCAGATAATAAAACGCGAATAGCTGTGCCGCGAGCTACTTCATATGCAAAATCAATTCGAAAAAGTCATTTAAGGGGCCTTACCTATAATCAGTGGGTTGTTTAGCAACATTTTGTTTTGAAATAAGTAGATTGTGTGTGATGTTTGTTTCATAATGCTTTATCGAACATTGGAAATGCTGTATGTGAAGCTTTAGAAGTGAAATAGTCATTAGGTTGGATAACAAAGCCTTGGTTGACGTATACATATCGTGAGAAAGACCATCTAAAGCGACAAAACGACATCCGATGAACGTCGACATCTCGTACGTATGACAGCAATGCATATATCGAGGTAATGGAAGCTTATGGAGATCTCAAGGGCCTTCTTGGCGTACCGTTGTCATTCTCGTCTTGATTATGTCGATATATCCATATATGTGCTTGATCACTTTTCAAATGGCCGGTTGCTTATGCTTACCGGACTAAAAAGGCTTTCAGTGTATTTCAAATGTGTGGACCGTTGCGTAACAACTCTGTATGTTATATACACTGCACAAACAACACGACAACATATAACAACGACAATCGATGTAAGACACTACTGTTTTAACTCTCCAAAGGCTTAATCTCAAAGGAGCCTTTTGTGTTCGTGCATGGAGTAATTTAGGGGTTTGTCGGAGGAAGGCATTATGCTACGTCTTTGTTAAGTCGGGTGGATTAGACGAGGACGATACAAGGTAAATGTCTAGATTTATTTTTGGTGAAGCATTTGATAAAGACTTACTAACTGGGTGAATACATACCGTTACTCTGGTAGCCTCGTTTTCCGCATGGTCTCATTGGATACATCTGCATACTAAGAACATTAACACGTAGGACCGTGGGATTGCACGGTTAAATACTCGCGATGTGGCTGGAATATTGCTAGAACGAAATATAACCAAGTTCGCTCACTCATTCATTAACACCATTTAAACACTAGTTTTATCAATCCGGATATTTGTTAATTTGAATGAAGTCTCTGGTAACGCTAGTTTGCGGATAAACGAGGAGCTGCTTTACAGAGAGATTGAGCAAAATAGACAGCTGTCATACAGGACGCTTTGTGTTTGAACATGGATAGATTTTACAATACTAAACACCTTAAGTGAGATTTGCCTTACTCTAAAACTTCTATGTTTGTCCATAGCAGTCTCATTTCCATGGTGGGGCGTTCGGGTAGCGTAGTGGTTAAAAAGTTCGCCAGTCACGCCGAATACCTGGGTTGAAGGACAATGTCATTCACTATGAACTGTGTTTAAAAAAACCACCATAACTCGATTGTGTAATGGCAGTTTATGAATCTTATACAAGATTCCTAAGGTGGTGTCTCGATCCTATCAACTTTTACATGACCTCCATGTAAGGACAAGGTAGTAGGAGGTAAATGTATCAAACATCGTTCACATTTTAGGAATTTTTTTATTAATTCATGGAAAATCTATGTATTGTTCAATTACACCTGTCACATATCATGGTTGTGTCGAATGTCAAGGTCACTTGTAAGGCCCTTCATGAAATGTCTTGTAAATACTAGTAGTTATATTCTTTATAACTGGAATTTGACAAACGTTTATATACATGGCATCTGTTCATGGGGGTTCAGATTAAAAGTAATTAAACCTAGAATTGTTTATAAGTGTGGTATTAAGGTAGCTAGAGGCATGGGACTTTCTGTTTGAAAGTTGTGTGCAATGAACATGCGTCAGGTAAGCTGTTTGAAAATTGTGTGCAGTGGACATACGTCAGGTCAACTGTTTGAAAATTGTGTGCAGTGGACATACGTCAGGTCAACTGTTTGAAAGTTGTGTGCAGTGGACATACGTCAGGTCAACTGTTTGAAAGTTGAGTGCAATGGACATACGGCAGGTCAACTGTTTGAAAGTTGTGTGCAATGGACATACGGCAGGTCTACTGTTTCAAAGTGGTGTGCAGTGGACATTGGATAAGTATATAAGATTAATATTGATGGATGTTAAGGTTGGTGCATATTGATATTAGTGGGTGTGGATTAAAGACTATAGGTCACGTGTTGGTGATATTGATAATGTACACTAAAGGTCACGTGTTGATGATATTGACGATGTAAACTAAATGTCACGTTTTCATGATATTGATGATGTAAACTAAATGTCACGTTTTCATGATATTGATGATGTAAACTAAATGTGACGTTTTCATGATATTGATGATGTACACTAAATGTCACGTGTTGGTGATATTGATAATGTACACTAAAGGTCACGTGTTGATGATATTGATGATGTACACTAAATGTCACGTTTTCATGATATTGATGATGTAAACTAAATGTCACGTTTTCATGATATTGATGATGTAAACTAAATGTCACGTGTTGGTGATATTGATAATGTACACTAAAGGTCACGTGTTGATGATATTGATGATGTAAACTAAATGTCACGTTTTCATGATATTGATGATGTAAACTAAATGTCACGTTTTCATGATATTGACGATGTAAACTAAATGTCACGTTTTCATTATATTGATGATATAAACTAAATGTCACGTTTTCATGATATTGATGATGTACACTAAATGTCACGTTTTCATGATATTGATGATGTAAACTAAATGTCACGTTTTCATGATATTGATGATGTACACTAAATGTCACGTGTTGGTGATATTGATAACGTACACTAAAGGTCACGTGTTGATGATATTGATGATGTACACTAAATGTCACGTGTTGATGATATTGATGATGTACAGTAAATGTCACGTGTTGATATTGATAGGTGTCGATGTATATTGTTAATGATGGACATGGTCTAAAAGTCGTCGTAAGTTGTTAGTATTAGGTGTAGACTAACGGTCGCTGTATATTGTTAGTGATGGGTGTAGACTAAAGGTCGCTGTATATTGTTAGGGATTGGTGTAGACTAAAGGTCGCTGTACATTGTTTTTGATGGTGGTAGACTAAAGGTCGATGTATATTGTTAGTGATTGGTGTAGACTAAAGGTCGCTGTGTGTTGTTAGTGATGGGTATGGACTTCAGGTAACTGCAGTGTATTGAAATAGTGTTGGGTGTTGACTAAAGGTCGCTGTACATTGTTAGTGATGGATGTGAACTAAAGGTCGCAGCAGTATGTTGAAAATGTGATTGGCGTGGACTAAAGGTCACTGCAGTGTATTGA